GCTCTAATTATAGGTTTTGAAAATCAGGGTAGATTTTTCAGATGAATTATTTTGAATTATTTTAGTAAGCCGAAGGGATATATGTGAGTTCCACATTTTAGTCCCAAAGGGGCTGCGCTAGCAAGCTTTTCAATCAAGTTTCTTATGAAAATGAACCTCATTCGAATCGTGCCTTTTTGGGTATGTAAGTGAGGTCATGCAGGAAACAACGGTAAATTCACAACTTTATGAGTTCATGAGGTCCTACTATTCATTTGTAGTCAAACTGCTGAATGAGAAATATTTTAGGAAAGCTAGAATCATTTGTTTTTGTGCAAGTTTCGAGCATAATTTTGAAAAGTTTTGGTAAACTTGTCACAAGTGGAACGTATAATAATGCACCTACAATATCAACAGAGTGCAGCTACAACAAAGCAATGAATTAAACTCAAACCCACTCAGAGACCCATGATTTAACTCATAGCTAGCGTTTTCATCAACAAGACAACACTTATGATAGTTTCGGATGATGTTTATCAAATTGACATGTTTTGTTATAAGATCGTTGATTTTCTCCATAAATTTTACACCATTTGGTCACCTTAAGATTTCAACCATTTTTAGGTAAAAATACAATTTTTGTTGCTGCTGCATACAACTCGCAAATGTATATCTTCGCCACCTGCCGCCTTGCTCGAAACACATATAACTCTATGTATTATCAACATAAACCCATGTTCAACTACAAAGGATGACTTCAAAAATTCACCGAAAATGTTTTAATTCAAAAAATGTCTCCCTCACAGTGGACAAAACTTTCTAAGTAAAATCTTTGGTTGGTTAAAGATAAGCTATGATTTCGTCACCATGAAAACTAGTGGTTAAAGCTGATGTGCATAAAGTTAAATAGAAAACCCCTATACATATATTTAGCGGCGCTGAAATCATCAAAGCGCATATAATGTTTTATTTCACATAGCGCCCTCTCCAATCGTAAAAAAAAGAAAAATGAGCATCGATTACTACGAGAAACATTGGCACAGACAGTGCCAATAATATACCACGAATGAGTAATGCTTGCTTTTAATCTGGCGTTATACAATACACATGATTATTTATTTACATAATGCACGTCTTGTTGTCGTTCTCTTGCTAATCGACGAACGAGAAAAACAGTACTCAACATATTTCTCTTGTTTATAATTATTATCTCGATGTTTTTCTCTACTACTATTGCGCTTCTAGTAATATTTCTTCTTACTATTTATTGGTATTTGAAAGGTAACGGAACTAATCATAATAAAAAATTGCCTGGCCTCGAACCACAATGGATATTTGGTAACTTACGTAATACTGGTGTTATTTCCGGTCGAGTAGTCCTTTATGAAGCTTTAGCTGAGCTGAAAGCTAAATTTGGTGACGCCTTTTCATTTTGGCTCGGACCTTATTATTCAATAGTTCTTTCACGTATTGACCATGTTCAACATGTCTTAGCAGATAGACATACATATGATATAGCGGAGACTACAACCCGCAATTTCGGAGTACTTTTCCCAACTGGTCTAATTGCTCTGCGAGGAAATGAATGGAAACGTCATGCACGATTCATTCTTCCGATGCTCAAACGAGCCAAAGTTTTACCATATCTTGACACAATTGTTACCTGCACCGATCGTTTCATTGATGAAAAATTGTCTCGACGAAATGGAGAGATTCATATGGATTTAGTTGAACAGTCTCAACGACTTTTGCTCAGCATTATTGGGTTTATCGCCTTTGATTATGACCTCGAGACAACATCTACAAGTGGTACTTTTGACCTGCGAGATGCTTTCAATGACTTTGTTCGCATCGGAAACCAATTCATTCTAATCAGTGGCGTTCCATTATGGCTCGGCAAATTGATCTTAAGAATGAGTTCCCAATATCAACGAGCATTACGTACTATGAAACATTATGTGACGAACATGATTAACGAGGAGAAAGCTAGACAACAAGAAGCGACTAATTCAATCAGATCAATCAATCTAATTTCTTCACTTGTGTCAGCCGTGCAACTCGAGTCATCAGAAGGAGTACCTTCATTGGCTCCAAATGAAGTATTCGACGAGGTATCTCTCTTAGTATTAGGAGGTTTTGAGACAACTTCAACAGCACTCTCTTGGTTCATTTTCTATATGTCGAAGTATCCAGAAGTTCAGGAAAAGATGAAAGACGAGTTAAAAACGCATAATTTAACACTGAATACATCTCTTACACAAGATGTACTCGATTCATTGATCTATGTTGACTGTGTGACAAAAGAACTTCTTCGATTTGCACCGATCGCTACGATTATCTCACGAAAGGCTACTCGCGACGACATTATAGACGGCATTGAGGTGAAAAAAGACGACACGATCTTGATCGCTGTTCAAAGTCTACATTTTGATCCTCGTTACTGGAAAATTGACCCGTCAAAATTTATTCCAGAACGCTTTCTTTATGAAGATAAAAATCCACCCCATTGCGCATACATGCCTTTCGGAGGTGGGCATCGTGCGTGTGCTGGTCAAGACTTAGCTTTCTTCGAGTTGAAAACAATTATTACACGATTGATGCAGCGTGTCACGTTCGTAGATCCTGGTAATGAAGCAAATAATTCTGGTGGTATGGTTCAACGTATCACATGCTATCCAAAAAATTTGGCCATACGTGTTTATGTCGATAAAGATTATATGGTAGTCTAACAGAAAGTCAGAAGTTTCTTTGCTGTAATTCAGTTTATGTTTAATAATATGCTTAACATCATAGAAATAAAAAACAATAGTCTCACGCTTCTTCATTTTTGCTTATGCAAGCGAGTATATTATTTCAATAGAAGTAAAATTTGTCTACCACGATTCTTTTTTTATTTTGAAGTACATGGGTTCATATTATTTACTAAAATGATCCATTGAAATTAAAGAATCACCACTGCTATCGTTTATTTTTCTGTCAATACGTTTTACTATTCAGTAAGTGGGCGATAAATTTCTTTCGACAGTCGCTGGAATCTTTATTTTAATATGACTAGCCTGGCTGAGTTGAAACACATGGAAATAATTTTAAAAATCAGACACTCCGCATTTGGCACACGGTTAAATACACTTCATGAAAACAATTTTAAAGTTATCACACGTAGTTTGTTTCGTCTTAGTGAACTTTCGTGTTAATGAAACGTAATGGTAGGGTACATGAACGCATCTGAATTAGTTTCTTTTTAGACTTGATAAAAGAAAAACATACTGGTGCAACAGTCATCATCATTGTAGATCAAAGTTATTTCAAAATCAATTTAACTTTCATTTTTATTTAAATTCTTCGTCAAACGCATGATGAAAATCGACTTTTATACTGCCATTCAATTTTCTTTATTTTTTTAAATCAGATCATTGATGTAATGATTTGAATTGCGAATTTTATTGAAGTAGATATCAATTTTAGTGTTTAATTTTTATCGAATTTTTCCATATCTTTGGTTTAATGAATAAATATCAGCTGATATCGAATCTCAAAGCAAAAAATACTTGTCAATGGTTAATCTAGCATTGTACTTACTACTTTTCGACATAAATAATAAGAAACATCGAAGAGAAGGCTCAATTTTCAACTTAAAATTAGAGAAAAATACGTTTAATATTCATGAAACATTCATAGTAGATAGTTTATTAATTGGCAATCATATATGTTCAGCTGATTCTTTTTATAGAGTTAATGTATGAGAGATCGCTGCTATCATTGTGTTCATACAGAATCTACAATAGTTAACCTAATTATTGTGTTATTAGGCATCTTTAAATACATTACTGACCTTTGGCCTGTTGTGATTAAATTGATATTTCTGAAAATACTATTTCTTTTTCGATTATGAAAAGGCAATCAAACAAATATTATGAATTTATAGTAAGTTTTTCACATCAACTAGCTTCGTTGAATATAGTAATCGAATTACAAAGCGCTCGAGGCGTCATGTTACCCGCATTAGTCCTAAATGCTCAGACACGCATACACATATATCTTGATGAAAGATAGCTTATTGACCATATTAAGGCGGGGGGGGGGGGGGGGGGGGGGGGGGGGGGGGGGGGGGGGGGGGGGGGGGGGGGGGGGGGGGGGGGGGGGGGGGGGGGGGGGGGGGGGGGGGGGGGGGGGGGGGGGGGGGGNCGAACTTTAATTAGCGCTTTTCCATCAAAGTATGCCTGATTCTTAGCATTTTAAGGTGGAAATATTAAGAGAATGTGTTCACAATTATAATGACACTCTTAAAACCCTGAAAATCCTGATGGAAATCCTGAAAGTCGCCTTAGTTTTCTGGAAAACCTTTTAAATTAAATATTAGGAAAAATGCGGTTTTTAATAGAAGGCCCCCCTGGAAAATTTTTACGCTGGAACATAATAGAAGACCCGGAGTCTTTTATTGTGGGGAGGGGTTTACTAACATTGGGAATCGTTTGAACCGACATCGATGTATCTAAAAGATACTTTTGTGTTCATGATTGCTGTTTAATTATTTTCATCCTTTTATTTGATATTTTAGAGTTGATTTTATTTTCAATGACACTTCGGTGATGTGCTACCTTTGTCAGACAATTTTTCTTTTATATTTGCAAACATCCATATGTAAATACACCAACACGTATTTTTATTTTTCTTTTTAGCTGTTTTTTAGATTTCAATTTAAAATATGGTAATGGGACGGAGGAAGAAGATACAAAGCCAATTAATCTTACTAGTACCATCGTCTTGTCGTGTTATTGTCGTATTTTTAATTTAAATCTAAAAAACAACTAACAACAATGAAAAATAAGTCTAGGCATATTTATATGTATAGAGATGTTTACAAACATAAATCATTACAATAAATCATAAATTTCCTTCAATTGAAAACTAATAAAACGATAAAACAGACTTTAAAAAAATATCTGCATCTGACAGAAAAAGTTCATACGAGAAGGAGTTAACGATGAACATTCCAGATAATTTGAAGACACAATCTAATTTAATAATCTCATCAAAATATGTTCTCGAATGTTCTATGAAGAAAAAGAGCTTGAAATGTGACCAAACATGTGCAAGCAAGCATACCGAGCAAGCATACCAAAGCAAAAACAGCAACCAAACATTCAACCGAACCATAATTAAAATTCCTATGACTTCTTCCCTCCCAGTTGCCAAAACAAAATAATCAGAGAAGGCGTTGGCCAGAACCTTTTTTTTGTTCTACAGTAAGCGTCAACAATACTCCACCCATACAGATACATGTTATTGTTTGAAATCCTACATGGCAATTGGATTTTTTATCAGCTATATAAGATTATTTTATTTTCACATTCATCTCTTCAAACAATCCAAACACTTCGCTCTTTTCTGTTGTTCACAATCATTATTTCAATGTGCTTCACTACTACCATTGTGCTGCTAGCCATATTTGTTCTGGTTGTTTACGGGTACTCAAGACTCAATCGGTCAAATCATACTGAAAAATTACCTGGTATCAAGCCACAATGGGTATTTGGTAACTTATATAACACTGGTATTGTATCTGGTCGAGTGACACTACCAGAAGCCATCGCTGAACTGAAAGAAAAATATGGTGATGTCTTTTCATTTTGGTTCGGACCTTATTATTCAATAGTTCTTTCACGTATTGACCATGTTCAACATGTCTTAGCAGATAGACATACCTATGATATAGCTGAGACAACGACTCGTACCTTTGGTATTCTCTTTCCAAGAGGTCTACTGGCCTTGCGAGGAGATGAGTGGAAGCGTCATGCACGATTCATTCTTCCTATGCTCAAACGGGCCAAAGTTTTACCATATCTCGACACAATGATTGCGTGCACCGATCGTTTCATTGATGAAAAATTGTCTCGACGAAATGGAGAGATTCATACGGATTTAGTTGAACAGTCTCAACGACTTTTGCTCGATATTATTGGATTCATCGCTTTCGACTATGATCTGGATTCATTATCTTCCCATGACGGTTATGATCTTCCACATGCTTTCAATGACTTTGTTCGTCTAGGTAATCAGTTTATTCTGAAAAATGGCATTCCTTTTTGGCTGGGTAAGCTGATCTTAAGAATGAGCTCTAAGTATCAACGAGCATTACGCACAATGAAACACTACGTATTAAATGTAATCAATGAAGAACAAGCAAGACAACAAGAAGAAAATTCGACGACCAAACCTAAAAATCTTGTGTCATCGCTGGTAGCAGCTATCAAGAAGGAGTCGTCTGAACGAGGCACTTCATTGACTCCAAATGAAGTATTTGACGAGGTATCTCTCTTGATATTAGCTGGCTTTGAGACAACTTCAACAGCACTATCTTGGTTCATTTTCTATATGTCGAAGTATCCGGAAGTTCAGGAAAAGATGAAAGCAGAGCTGAAAGAACACAATTTAACACCTGATATGCCACTCACAAAGGAAATACTCGACTCAATGATGTATCTAGATTGTCTAGTGAAGGAAATCCTTCGCTTTTCACCAATCGCTCCAGTTGTTCCACGACAAGCTACTTGTGACGACATTATAGACGGTATTGAAGTGAAAAAAGGTGATAAAATCGTCCTTGCCATTCAGAACTTGCATCGAGATCCTCGCTATTGGAAAATCGATCCGTCAAAATTTATTCCAGAACGTTTTCTTCATGAAGACAAACATCCACCTCATTGCGCCTACATGCCTTTTGGTGGTGGTCATCGTGCATGTGCTGGTCAAGATTTAGCTTTACTCGAGTTGAAGGTACTGATTGCAAGGTTGATGCAACGTGTAACGTTCATTGATCCAGGCAACGAAGCAAATAATTCTGGTGGTATGATTCAACGCATTACTTGCTACCCGAAGCATGTGGCTGTGCGAGTTCATCTCGATTAGAGTCATGCAATAACATTTTCTTTTTGAAAGTAAATTTAATTTTTAATTTTTGACATCGAGTGTATTATGACAAAAAAAAGGCATGACATTGTTATAGTTGAATGTGTGTGTGTATATATCGATGTATCAGCTAACATTTCTGTTCAATAAATGTACTATTTATTTATCAAAATATTTGTTTACCTAGAAGATCGTTGAGATGTGAAGCATAAACTAGGCCCAGCAGAAATTCATGTTTCTTCATAACATAATTGATTCAAATTAAATAATTTTCTTACAATCACACTGTGATGCCTGTGGAGTATTTTCGTAATTTATGTTGCTTTAGCTTTTCGATTCCAATCTTGTACAACACACCCACACTACATAGAGTATGATTGCCGTTGATATCTATGAATGTGGCTAGTGTGAAGAACAATTTCGATTCTATAGCATGCCCTATAAATAAATCAATATTTTGTTTGATTCTTTCCAATTGAAAGCAAGATTTCAACGCTAGATGTTTCTTGTTAGATAAGATCAATCAGACGTAGATAAAATATATAACAACTAATTTTTCGTGAGTTTTTATCTGGAAACACCGATATTGATAAAACTTTTTTCAGAATAAAGAGTAATCACCTAAAATAAAATTTTGTTGATGTAAATATACATGGTTACTCAGAATATTCTCGAAGTTTCTGGAATGTAACTGTGAAACATATAAGTACCGTTATTTAGCAATTAATTATATCATTCAATCTAAAATAGTTTTCATTGGTTTTTCGTAGCAATTTTCGTATCGAATATCTTAACGATATTCTTCATTGTTTCTGATCATTTAAAAGACTTGGCTGAGTGCTAACACCCTGGTATGTAATTGAAGATCTTTTCGAATTAAACGATCTATTATTCTGATAAAGACCTCAAATGCTTTTGCTAATTGTCTTGCAATTCGTTGAGTTTTATACTTAAATTCTTTGTTCACCGTTCGTAAATGATGCCATCCTTTAATTATATGATCACTAACCATTCTTCGTAATGTTTTAGCAGATTTATGCAATACCTTTTAGAAATTCTTCCGATTTTATTTTCGAAATTAGTACAAATAACACTGCGATAACTTCTATTCAGTAATTGTATAATAAGAATATCAATAGTAGACATTTTGAATATTTTTCATTCAAAACATTCCTATTCGAACAATCATCTAATTTAATTGAACAGTGATTAATCGATCATGTTTTCCTGAATACCTTGGTTACAATAAAAAGTAAAGAATACTGGTGAAAATTATTATGAACAAGAAAACTAAAAGAGTTTAACGAGAATCCATTAGTTTTTATCTCAATAGTTCACCATGTACACACAAGAGAACTGCAACGGTAAAATAGAATTTGAAATATGATCGAAATAATTTCACTTACTATACATATGCTATTTCCTGGGTTGAAAAAATGGTCTTATCAACGTCAAGCTATGAATACAGAATCATAACATAAGTAACACAATGAATGCTGGTACCGTTGATAAAACATCATAAGCGACATATGCAAAATGAAAAAAAATATTACGCTAGGTCAATTTTTCAAGGAAAAGTCTAGCAAATGTAATCATATATGATATCAAATCCCAATATTTAAATCGATTTTTAATCAACAGCATTACTGCGAACAGAGAAACATCATAAATTCAAAAAAGTTAAAGAAATGCAATAAATTAAAACCAAAACAAACGTATAAAAGTATTAATTTTATGCAAATAATATTTACATATTAATAAAAAAAAGAAGCCGGAAAATCAATAAGAGAAAGAAAACACTGAGATGCGACAACAATATACTATTGTTTCTTATTGAATTGCAGTGCTCGTCAGCATTACTATAGGAAGAAAAAAAGAAAATATTTGCATATAATTCTAACTGTTTTTGTTTTTGTGTTTCAGAATAATGTACTAAACGCATCGAACTCTTGAATAACTTTTCTTTTGAATAAAAGAGAAGAAAATGAAAAAAGACCTTGTGTGTTAACCATTGCATTACTTAAACAAATTTTAATTCAATGAACACTGTAGATAAATCACTGCACCAAAAAACATATTTTGTTACTATTTGAGGGTGTGAAAAAAAAGTTAAAATTTTTTCTTTAACACTATACGAATCAGTGGAGATGTGAAATACGATGCAACTCTATATATTTTAAACACTTTTTATTAAGCTATTGTCATATATATATAAATATGTTAAATTTTTACTGTGATGTCGAGCAGTCTTCTTATGCTTCTAAATGTCATAATCACTGAAAAGCTAAAATCTAATATGGAGTCGTTTTCAACTGGAATATAACTTGTTCCCCAAATTATTGGTATTGATGACCTTTGACTTCGGCACGTATATCATAAAAAAGCTCAGGAACAGGATTTGGACTCTTGAAAACTGTTCTATACAATGGCCAGTTTATTGTGACAAGACTGGCTTAATTGAAAACCTAATCTAATTTAGTGATCACATCAAATAATTGTTCGAAATTTCTATTAAAGAAGAAAAAAACCTGACATCTGATAAAACATATACAAACAAGAATACCAATCAAACATTCAACCGAACCATAATTAAGTTTTCTATGACTTCCTCCCTTCAGTTGCGAAATAAAAGTATCATACAAGGCGTCGACTAGCATTTTTCTTGTTCTAAAACAAACGTTAACAGCAAAATATCCCTGATTAACTTTCACCTCAAATTGAATCCATATATGTACACCGAACTTTCAATCAGCAGCATAAGTTTTTTTGTTTTTGCATTCTCGTCATCGAGATTCTTGCTATTGGAACATCGATCCTTCAAAATGCATTCCAGAGCGTTTTCTTCATAAAGACAAGCATCCATCTAATTGATCGAGATGACGAAGCAAATCGTTCTAGTGGCATGATACAACGCATTGCTTACGACCCAAAAAATGTGGCCGCACGTGTTTGCCTTGATAAAGATGATGTTTTGAACTTCCTTCTTTTGTGAATCGATTTTTTTATAATGTGTTCTCACTAACGCCGATTATGGTCTGAATTTCTTTTCATTTTGGCACAAGATTTTAATCGAATGACAAACAAAATTCTCTAAAGTAATACGATTTGTACTATTGACTAATTGTATCTGTCACTCTGTATAGCTCTCTATAACCATTTATTGCTATACATTATCTTACGTATTTATCTCTAATCAACTGTTTCAATTCTTGGTTATAGAGAGCAACATTTTAGAAACACTTCTAAAGAACTATTTTCGTGTTTTAATTACAATTTATCCGTGCTGTTAACCATTAGATAGTGTATGCCTTCAGCAGGTGCTTTCTATTTAATTACAGTTCATGATGAATCTTTGACTAGTTTTTTGATTACTTACAAAAAGTTACCCTCACGACAGTCGATTATTTTCACTTTTTAGCCAAATATGATATATATCTAAATAAAAATTGTTGATAAACGAACTAGGATGTTTGTCTCTAAAGACAAATTCTGTAGTTTAATGATCATACTAGTGATTATATGATAAAACGGTGTACTTATCTTGTGATATGCATCATCTGATATAAAATATAGTGCAATTAATCAGTTAATGCTTCCATATATAAATGTTAAATACTGATAGTTATATTTTCGACCAGTGAGCCCTTTGTGTTTCTTTTCTTTTGTTTTGAGAATCGAATAACTTTTAGGCTAGCCCACTTGAAGTAAACAACTTCTATGAATTATATTTTCTATGATGTTTTCGAAAAAAATTGATTGTCATCTTTTCACAAAGCTTATAAGTATTCCTTTATAATGAAATTTCACTGCTATACCTTCTGATTATATTCATCGTAAAATTCGTATAATTATTAATGTTAAATATATGATTCTATCTTAAATTTTCTACTCAAAGTAACAGCTCACATATGTTATAAGTATCACATAGCTATACGTAATTTCTTTTTGTATCATCATACAGAGTTTATTTTATAACCGATTTTTAAAATCGACTAATATTAATTTATCACAATCTGTTCATTATATAGTTAAAAAAAGAATAATCTGCTCACGATGCGAATAAACATCCATATTATATGATTTTCATAGTTTATAGAAATTATTTGGTAATATGTGATCGTGAGAATTAGATGTGTGGAAGTTAATATTGAGATTTTCTTCGATAAACATTCGATATAAATCACCCAAAAATATATGATATTTAGCTTTTGTATAAGTTTTATTGCGATTTCAAACACTGGCATTGGATCTCTTCATTCTGGTGCCTATCTTGAGTATATGACTAAGATATACATCTTCCAGATGTAAGATATTTTGATTTTGAGAGCTTTTTGATTGAGTTACAAAACAAAATATGAGCTAATCCAATTACTGATATGTGTGCCGACATCTCTACCCTCCTCATCATATGAATCAAAGAAATATAAAAATACAGAGTGGCACAGCGTAAAAGCAAAAAATATAAGGTGTGCGTAATTGAAACTTTCCACAAGTTTCATTTTTCGTTTAAACACATATGGTTGGATTCGTTGCGTGATGCTGATCACGAATCTGACATTGCTTCTTTTTTAAATTTTTTCGTGAAGAAAAATGCAAAATTGTGAGATCTAAGAAATGTGAAAAATTTATCTTTTTGAAATGTAGGAAAAAAGTCTTTTTCTTTTCTTTTCTTCTGACTTTTCAGGTCATATTCAGATTCTTCGTATGAAGCTGAGTCTAGAAATCTTAACTAGTTAAGATTTTTAGACTCAGCTTCATACGAAGAATCTGAATACCACCTGAAAAGTCAGAAGAAAAGAAAAGAAAAAGACTTTTTTCCTACATTTCAAAAAGATAAATTTTTCACATTTCTTAAATCTCACAATTTTGCATTTTTCTTCACGAAAAAATTAAAAAAAAGAAGCAATGTCAGATTCGTGATCAGCAACACGCAACAAATCTAACCGTATGTGTTTAAACGAAAAATAAAACTTGTGGAAAGTTTCAATTACGCGCACCTTGGGTTTCTACCTGTTTTTGATCAGTTAAAAAAAAGAACGATATTAATCTTTAATTTGAATAAGGATAAGACAGAAACGCTATGGGATCTATTTACAAGGAGACAAGAGGATTTGGGTTTTTTAGGATTTTCAAAATCCCAAAATTCTAAAATCCAAACTGTGAATAATGGAATTTCCATCTGAATTTTTTCCAATATATAAGTATTGTGATCTTTAGAATATTCTAAAATTTTCAGCGCAAACGGATGTTTCCTTCTCAAGATAATGAATGCGTAAGAAATGTTCATTTCACGACACGGTCAGAAAATTCAACATTTTAAGAAGCAAACATTTGTTCGAGTAGAAACTTTGAGGATCTTCTATGGACCATGAAACCAATTTATGGGAAGAATTTCAGGTCGAAACTACGTCATTAGCAGGGGCGAAATACTGTTCAATTTTGGGATTTTTCAAATTCAAAAATCCCAAAAAATCTGCGGTTCCCTCTTGTCTAATTATCATTTTTCCTTCATTTCTTTGAAGAAATTATTTAACAAAAGAAGGCAATATCTTGGAACTTGCTCTTCAAAATCTACATCAAGATTCACGCTACTAAAAAATTGATCCGTCACAATTTATTCCCAAACGTTTTCTTCAGGAAGATAAAAACTCAGCTTATTGTGTTTTGATGACATTTCAAAGTGCTTATCACGCGTGTGGTGACCAAGATTTAGCTTTCTGTGAGTTGAAAACGATTTTCATACAATTAATACAGTTTGCGATGTTCATTGATCCAGTTAATTATGTGATCAACTCTGGTGAAATGGTGCGCAACACATGATGTGCTGCCAGAAACATTTGGCTCTGGGTGCATGCGGTGATGAAACCTTTAATGTTACTCTTCTTCCGAGTCGTTTCTATTTAATAATCTATATGACATTATCGAAATAAGAACGATAATATCATAATTAAAAAATGTCTGAGGGTGTATACGAAAGTGTAATGTTTTTGCAGATCAAAGCAGCAGTTATCAACGAAAATTATTGTTTCTTGCAGAATCCCAGTGTCGTGTTTCTATTAAAGCATAATCGAAAGATCTTTTTGATGGAAAAATCAATGATTGTGATTAGATAATTTCCACAGTAGTTGTCATTTGTGTGATTGAGTTTTATTTAGTTCACTGGTCGCTCTTGTAGTATGCTTCGTTGAATGTGAACACCTCATAATGCATAGAATACAACAAACATATTTGCGCGAAGCTTTGACTCTATTTTTACGTAAGCGCTATTTTCTCATGTTTTCTTCACAAGAAGTTGTACCATGCATTCATAGTGATTGACGCTCATCCAAGCACATTTCTCGATGTATGCCATCATTATGAAATTGGACAGCGTGTTCATTGCGAAGACTTAGCTAAACCTCAACCACTGAAAATTTCTTATCGACTTACCGATGAACCTTGATTTTCTGACTAATTTCGATCTCACTGAAATTATCAAGTCAAAGTAAGGGCTATTTTTTTTTATCTCACTCTTAATCATAGACGATGAACTTTGTAATGTATTACAATCAATAAGAACTATAGTGTCATGCTAACATATAATAGCTAGTTTCAGCGATCTTGACACGATATGAAATGTATGCATTTTTGAATAAAAAAAAACAGATATTAGATTTTAAAGAAATGAAATAATAAACGAGATATATTCGCATCGATAGGAAGACATTAGCGGCTCACTGTAACGCTCACACTTAAGCGTGACTATTATTTAGTCCCGACCATGTATTTTCTCTTTTCTCTATGTTTTGTATTTATTTTGATGTTCTTAGCGTTTGTCCTTAACTGTCATCAAATTTCGTTCTCTTGAATGGTTTAGTATTTAAATGTGTGCTTTTTGTGTAATCGGTACGACTCATGATATGAAGGAATGAAATAAAGCATAGTTCCATCAATGCAAGCACTTCTTCTGTCAGAATTCGTCACACTCACGGCGAAAATATTGAGCGTCAGTGCATTCAATCTATTTTTACTGGTTTCTTCAGCATATTGTAGCTTCTTATTAGAGCTACATATATTCTAAGTTTCAGAAATCTATTCGATATACACAAGTTTCAAAATAAAAAAAATTTATTTTTGAGATTCTTCAACCGAATACAGACATATAAAAACCTGAATATCTTTAATAATAAAATAAAAATTTATGGGAAAATCTTCACGGTACAAGTTCAATGTTGATTTTTGTGAATAGCCTGTAAAATACATTAAGTTTTCAACTTAACAAGTTAGTTAATGTTATGTGATTATAGCTATTGAAAAAGAGCACGTTCAGCTTCTGAATCTGCGAATAAATCTTCTCCTTGATAGTACTCATCGATATTTTCCAGAAATGTTAAATTCACAAAAAGCACAGCAGTGACTATAACATTTCTATTTGATCCCACACGCAGTATAAAATCGTTGTCAGATTTCACGGCCACTCTGAACTCCAAATCTGCTGGTTCACCTGGTAATAATTCTCTTTCATGTAAAAGTGTCTGTTTGTGCTTTGAAAATGAACCTGGTTTTACTCGTGTTTCGATTAAAACACACCATCGTTGGTTATCTGAGAATATTCTTTCTGAATATACTACATCTGCTGCATAAAATATACTTGGTGAAACGAATATTGCATTTGCCCAATTCTCGCATGATCCTACTTTTACATGTAAAGGAATATGACCTGCTTGTGTAAAAATCCGATTTCCTGGTGATAAAACAGAGCCAGCAGGATGTAATCCATACTTCACAATCGAATCTAAATGTTTGTACTTGGTACCATGCCAAGCCACTGTCCACAACTTAGTTGTGTCCGACAGTGAATATTGTGGTTCGCATCCTGAATTTCTCAAAATCTTTTTACCTATGATTCTGCCAGAATGTTTAATAATAACCAAGTGTTCAGCTAATCCTTGATGTTTCAAAGAATTGAACAATGAATGAATTTGATCGTTAGTTTTTGACATAATGCAAAGTTTGATGTTTTGACTGCAACCTTCTTCTGTAGGTTTATTTCCAAATTTATTTTTCATTTCTGGATTCGCTCCATATTCGAGTAATAGTTCAACTATTGACTGATGTCCATAAAATGCTGCTGCATGAAGGGCAGTGCTTCCGCCATTTTGAACTTCGTTAATTTTACAGCCAGATTTTAGCAGAAAATTGCATATATTGTGAAAACCATTTCTTGATGCTATGTAAAGTAGTGTTCTCCCACATTCATCTCTTTCGTTAAGTAAATAATGTTGTCGCTTGATCTTTGCCATAAATGATTCATAGTTTCCTGTGTTTACATAGTAGAAATGATCTTCTGTCTTAACTGAAAATTGGTTGCCATATATTGAATATTTTGCTGAGTCTCTTGAACAAAGCATATCATATGCTAGAGCGCATGCTGCTCTTTGATATCGCACTGGGGACTGTATTTTCTGTTTAAAGGCTCCTTTTACATCGGCATGAGAAGAATGTTGATTTACTCCCAATATCGCAAAAGGGTTAATCGTCTTAGGTACCTCCAGTTTTTTTCTTCGAGATTATTCAGCTAATATTGATTGGTGTGTTCAATTCAGATTAAAACCGAAATTTATCATAAAATGTAAGTGAAGACGACTTCTAATACGCAATCTAAAATCATAAACTATACGAGTTCAATGTTACAACGCATTATACCACAATTGGTCAATGACGTCTGGATTAAAAAACAAAACTGTACAAGGTTTCTAAAGAAAAATCCTAATTTATAAACCCGGCGTGATATTTTGCGTTTCATTGTAGTTCAACAATATAACAGCGCAATAGAAAACGTGAATTTTACATGTAATTTAAGTTGATTAGTAGCTGATTAGACTATAAATCTATAGTGCAAAAGAAACCATTGAGTAGGAATTCAGGAATCATAGATACACGGCACAACACCGACCACAATGTAGTACCATAGTTCAAATAAACTTCTAGGTCACTGAATATGAAATGATGTAGGGATCAGTCAATAAAACTCTGAATTTACTTCCATTAAATTACCCATCTCAGTTGTAAAATTAACGTAAAATATGATTTACCATGAACCATTCAACTTTTCACGTCCTCAAAGATAGAAAAAACTATAAAATTAACAGCAGCAAGATAACTATTAAGAGATAGTGTATTTATTATAATTGCTACTCTTAATGCTGTAAAAATATGTAATCATAGAGAAGTAAAACACAATAGAACGAATTTCTCATTGCATATACGTGAAATAACATCTTGCTTTGTTTAAAAAAATGCCGGATGCAGCGACGACGGTCTAAAGAGAAATTGTATTCATCAATTCTGATTATCACTTTAATGCTAATGAAAATCATTTTAGAATAAAAGATTTGCTTCCTGAATTGGTTTCACCAAGTTTGGCACTTACTTGATCCTGATAAATAAGCTATCAACTGCCGAGAATAATTTTCAAAGGATCAAACCAATAAAATTCTTACTTAAAGTTTGCTTAGTTTTTGATCAAATTATACTTGCTTAAATTTTCTAAAATTCGCAAAAACAGCTACTCCAACACAATTCAACATCATATCCATGTGTTCACTGAAAACCAACGAAGTTTCGTGAAGCTTTAATATAAGATAGAAATATTTCACTAACAAAACAAGTTACTGTTGGTGTTTCACGATAAATCTTAGTAGTATAGCCATACGAATAGGATATGAACTGAAGTTAACTCGACAGAAACAGTCCTGCACACCAATTATATACCGTGGCGACGTCTACTTTTCCAAGTTGCTCAGCTAATATTGTATCGTTAGGTAGAAAAAAAATGGTTCATCACGGTTATTAATGACTCGGTGAATACATTTGATACAGAATAAAAGAAGAATAAACACCGATACAAGCATTTTTATTGAGACGCTCCGTGGATACATTTTCATAAAACGTCTCTATAAGAATGTTTTTATCCGTGCCTATCCTGCTTATTGTCTGTGAGAAAAGAAATACTTCTCTGAGTATAGATATCAGCTTTAAAATAAACTCCACTCAGTATTTCAATGGTGAAATGGTCAGTACTTTCACTTTTGTAGTTTCTATGAAAAAGTAGTTGGTAAAAACCGAACTCAAACCAACGCACAAGCATGTACGGATTACGTAAACAACTTTGAAGAATAATTATATATTGGTAATGTGTTGCACCGCAACAATCAATGTAGACATTATTTGCAAACCAATTGTGACTCATTCTGCAGTATTATGGCGTAAGACACTTACTTGCCTCCTACACTCTATACGAGAAAAAGCAAACAACAGGTAAAAATTGATCACAAAAGTGAAAATGGAAATTTCCAACAAAAAAGCGACCGTACGAAATATTGTTCTAGCCTATATTAAGTATGCGTATAGATATACTCGACATTGACAGGGCATTTATCGCTGATCATACATATAGATTATATGAAATTCACAAGCTATGGAAGTACTGAACAAATAATTAGGTGCACAATACGTGATTTTCACTCGATGCAGTCTCAAATTTATTTCATACAGTATTGTATCCCCATTATAAGCATATAGATATTTATCGGATTAGAATATTGCAATGATTTTGTAATAAAATAGATACTGCATCCAAACAATCGTATCTGCCACTCTGTTAATCATAGGCACTAACAATATTTTTCTTATAAAAATTTATAACAGTGACGAGTTTTAGAGTCCTGCAGGGAGAGTATGTTTTGCTTCCGTTTCCATTTTTATAAAAAAAAACGTTTTCCATTCTCTCATTGCTGATAGCACAAAATATGCTTCTTCCTATGTCTGTACTCCCTGCTACATGAAAAAACATTTTCCCGTGCCTCTGTTTTCACTTCTCCAAAGCTATCAGAATTTTCAATGCGATTTCAACTTTCATGTTTAACCACTATCGCTTCATGAAACTAATGTCTCGCTACAATAAGCGTTGTACAATGCAGCATGACATAAGTAAAAATAAATTTGAAATCGGGCATTTCTCCGCCTAACAAATCATACTGAGATTTACTATCTAAAATAATTTCATATTGTGGAATTTCGTCCATACTTATTATTGTTTAATTTCATATTACAAAATAATCTTTATGATAGTACTCTTCATGATGATGATGATGATGATGATAGAGATGTCTATGCTACCACATCAACGACAGATTTTATTTTTAAAAACATCGCGACGTGTCAGTAGTTAAAATTTCGAATGATTTTTCTTTTTTCTTCCGAAGACATCTATATTGCTTGAGGTTTTAATTCTATCGTAATTCATCAGAGAGAATTTCTTTCTCAACCAGCACGTTTTTATGGCTATTTTATCGTCTAACAGAAACAAAACGTCGACAGCATGCAATTGTGTGATGATGTTGTTTTGAAGGAAATTCTGGAATTCATATTCTATCTCATTATAATTGATATTTACTATATCAAGAGTTAATATCTTTGAATAAGATAACAACTATCGTGTTGTTAGTGTTTTTTTCACTGATGAGTACTGAATGTTATGTCTTATACTAAAAGCTACTTTGCCATGAATATATTACAAATGAAAATGAAAAACAAACTTTTAAAATTGACCAGCTACGAATATGATGATATGTTCATGCTAGATCAACACACGCTTCATCCGATTACATGAGCGTTAGAGAGTCCTAATTGTCAGAGTATAATCATTAAAACTGTGTAGTGGATTATATTTGGCGCACATTTTGACTTTTGGACCTCCTTAGACCCTGAATGTTGATGAGTTCTGCTATTATAAAAATGCGTCCGTCTACATTACAAATTTTAGTATAGTATCTTATTTAAGATATGATTCCAGAAAACTCATAGGCATGCATACATTACAATTAGTGCTCATAAAAAGTATATAGTTGTTCTTTTTTCACATTCAATCACTAGGCGAGAAAATCGAGTTTACTAAATGCAATTAGCACCATTGGTTTATTATTTCAAATAAAAAATGACCAAAAAGTATCAGATGTGATTGAACTCTGCATTAAGTGAAATATTTAAGCATGAAGTTGCGTGTACATTCTCCCGAGTACTAATTATTTTATTTCATAAAGTTTTATAATAAAATAAAAATGACTAGAAGTTCTCGAATCAAGTAAAAGTCAGTAATTTCTTATTCGAAGATTTGTTTGACTATACATATGAAGATGTTAAAGTTAATTATTTAGTTAAAAAAAATTAGTATTTAATATACCAGCAAGTTAGTATGCTATTTATTACAGACAATAGTTCGAATTAGTATCAAATATATTTTTCTATTTTCTTATTTAAATTTGATATGTTTCATGGCATTTCTGTATCTAAAAATAACAGAGGAGTACACATAAAGGCAGTGACGAATTCAGACCAGAAGTGCCATAAGGCGACTCCACCTTTCCAAAAATTCGCACCGCTACAAAATCTATCACTGTGTCAAGGAGCCAACAATAAATACTGACTATGTATAAAGTGAAAACAACTCACGCATATATGTGTAATAAATCGTAGTATCGTAGATCTACATATTGTATTTTATATTTTTTCGATCCTTCGCAACGATGTAGTCTCTTACTCGCTCTAAACTCCTATGATTTCTATCTCAATCTAATTCGATCTATCATATGAGCGAATGAAAAGAGGCTATTTAATCTGTGCTAAATGCTTCTACCGAAATAATTTAAGATTAGATGTTCTCATATTTGTTTTGGTTACTCGTTATATATTTAAAATTCAGCTGAAGATGTGATAAATTCCTCATCCGCACTCATCTGTAACGACATCATGGAAAACACAGTTTATGCAATACAGTCATACAAGTAAAAGTAAACCATACAGATATATTGAAGAATCACAAATTAGATCTTGAAATGTGAAACGTTTACTCTTTAATATTGTGGTTTTCAACTGTACTTATTTAATTACCAAGAAACGATCACAGAACGGATTTAATAAAAACTCCAGTATGGATGATATATTTAATGATCTCCCGTGATCATGTTTAGAGGTTTTTCGTTTTCATTGAGATTAAATAATAATTTGCAATTTGAGTAAGATATTAAATCATTGATCTCTAAAAGTTCTCATCGCATCATACGGATAAATATTTAAAAATAAATAATGTTTTGTTCACAACATTCTTTTGAAATGAGACATAGTAAACGTATGATGCGAAAAGCAAAGAAAAATATGCTCTAATAATACTGTCGGTAGTATCTGTTACGGCATTAGCTAAACTATGAGTTTATATCTTATATACAGTATGTAAAATAATTATTTGGACACCCTGCACTGAAAAAAAAATAAGTACTCTACGAAACTTAAAAAGGTTCCGAGATTTGCAACGAATTCGAAACCCTTTTGCGATGTCGTACGGAACCTTCAAAGTTCCGTATAGTCTCACGAAACCTGTGTCGGAGTCTCCGATATCTTTAAGGGTTTTGTGAGACTTTACGAAACCCTTGAAGAACCTCGAAGGTTCCGTATGATAAAGAAAAATGGTTTCGAATTCGTTGCAAATCTCGGAACCCTTTTAAGTTTCGTAGAGTGCTTATTTTTTTTTCAGTGTGACACGTACATCGTGTAAAGAAATGTTTATTTAATGTAAATATGGCAATACATAAAAAGGACCATTGACATTGACGATGCTTTACATATAGTACCTAGAAAGAAGTGAATGGATCGAATGAAGTTTTATGAGAGAAAAATTTTAATAGATTTATTGCAAGAGTAAAAGCTGCTTTGTTTTCAACTCCAAAATGTGACACATTTCTGTCAAACTATTCTAACGGCTTAATAATTAATCCATTTATAAATAGGTCAAACTGAAGAATGAATAGAATGATTTTATTAGAAAAAAATCTATTAATTTTAGTAATAATTGAATACAAAATACGTAAAAATATCCTTACAGATTACGAAGACAAAACCATTCGTTCGACCAACATATTCATGGCGCATAAAAATTATCCCTTTGTACAGAATGGGATACATCGAAAGTTGATCCACTGTATTATGAATAAAATTTTATTGTTAAAATAAAATTAGATGCGAAAGAAACCTTTTGCTCTCTTCAAATACTCTGGTCATACAAGCACACGAGTAGCGTGTGCATTGGGAAGAAACAAGCGGTAACAATCATAGCGTAAAACGAACGCGCTTGCTTGAATAGATAGAAATCAGTAATGTTTGAATCCATAGAAAGTTTCGATTCTGTTCGATAAGTTCTTCTCGAACAATTGACACACAAGCATGAATTACAACTCGAATAGACAATATTTATGATAATCGTTTTTGTCAAACTTTTATAAAACCTTTGACTACACGATACACCTTCGATTGAACGAGAACATTTACTAAGATTACTGCTCATGACATTTATAAAATTCTTCCTTGATCGCCTTTCATTCCTTTACATAACTATGTACGTATATGCAGTAAAAATTTTTGACTGACTTTTGCTTTCATTCCAGCTATCAGTGATACTCTATTTTATAGTTTATTTCTCTGCATAATTGAAAACAAAATACAATAAACGCTACCTGAAGCAAATATTTAATCATTCTATTGAAAGCTTTTACTTTTTATTTGGTTCAGTTTATTTATTTATTTTTATTTTAAAAGGTCTTACAAAAACTAACTGATGAAGAAAAACAATAATAGGCGGAGAGACAAAAAGTCTTTTATTTACTTTACAAGAGAAGGCAGAATGCAATGAGAAATAACAAAATTGAAATTGAAACTTCAAACTTAAAATGCATTAATATCACGAGATTTGAAACAATAGCTTACAGAGGATACGTATGATATAACTCTTTTTAGATTTTTAGATCATTTTATCTGATCGAAAATACTCATTTTACACATTTCTTTCATTGTTTTGTTGTGCTTTATCGTTAGATTCTTAGGTGTCCACTGTTCACTAAACATATTTTCAGAACGAATGGTAGAGCCTATTGACTTCATATTTTTGAATTCAAACCACGCTACTCAATCTTCCTAGTGAAAATCTCTAATTTAAAAACCCTAATCACATAAAAACATAGAGAATATTTTTCTTGCAATCTACTCCCATTGAACCAATCACAGTTTTTGAATTTTAAAGGACTCAATCTAATATATTCTACTGGTGGGTTTAAAAATCATATTATAATTCTATGTCAGAGAAGCAGATTAGAATAGCCTATCAGAGTTTCCATTTCTAAGGGATGCCATGTAACTTGAAAGACTATTTTTATCATTTTCTCGAATACTTTAGATTCAACTGGACAGTAAAAAATTTCCATAGAATCATTCATGTCAAACTATTTTCTTCATAATCTTAATGAAAATGTATTGCGATATAGATAGTAGGGAGCAATTATTTTCCTTCATCATTAAAATATAAATTATTTGTTAGCTGGGTTCTTTTAGAGTTTACTATTGAGGAAAAACTAGAATTTAACACATGGGTAGAGAAAAAATACGAAAACTGAACGATGTGCATGACATACCAACTATCACAAAGTAAACTATTTACTAAAATTATTTTATTAATGTAATTATTACTATGCTACATTTCTTAGATGGTCAACGCGAACGAAAGCCATTGTTGGTGGTTCCATTGCTACAGCTGTAGTTGCAGTAATTATTGTTGCAGTAGTACCTCCTGTTGTGTTACTTTCACAAAAACAAGGTAAAACGATACACGCATTCGTTTTTAATAATTAAAACGCTTAGATGATATGTGAGCGAATAACAGAAATAAATTTCAAAAATGTACTACTATTGTACATAGTTTACTCGGAGTTCTAGCTTATTTCGCATGAAAATATAACCAACACTAAAGCAAGATATTCTCTCGAAGCAATCGTTTTTTTGTAGAATACAATAACATAGCATATCGATTTTTTTATGAAAATTTCTCTATAAAATCATTGATGGAAAAACTAACATGATGAATAACTGGTTACACTCAATCTTTGATCTACGTGTAGCCTCAACAGTAACATCAACCCAGGCATCAACTGTGATTTCTATATATTGGTGTCTTGATACTTTGACATCGGATTCATCAAATGTCTACATTGGTACACTAATGAATGGTGCAACTTATTTTTCAACAACAAGTTCACAACCATTTGTTGCTTATGGCCAAGGACTTAGTCTAACTTCATCGTCAAGTCAATACATGACTATTGCAACTCCGTTTGTTGATCTTACTTATAAAAGTTTTACAATTGAAACATGGATATTTTCATCGGCAGCTTATTCTGGCGATTCTGGCATATTTGGACAATGTGAATGTTCGTCATGTTCTAATCAATGTTTATATCTTCTTGTTCGAGGAACTAGTTTATACGCTGGTTTTACATTAAATGATATAAGTGGTTCATCAACTCTAGCCGCTAATCTTTGGTATCATGTTGCTTTTGTTTATAATTATGACACAAAACAGCAAATTCTTTATCTCAACGGAGTGCAAGATGCGATTAAATCGAGTGCTAGTCCTTATCAAGGAGTCAATGGATCAATAAATATTGGTTCGACACTTGTATTTACAATAAGAAATTATTTTAATGGTTATATTGATAATGTAAAACTAACAACACGTGCTAAAACTGCTAATGAAATTCTTACTGCTGCCACTTTAGCTGGTTATTATTCATTTGATTCTCCTTCTCCATATAATGATAATGGTCCAAATGGTGCTAATGGGACACAAAACGGTGCAGTAATTGTTTCTGGTTATGTCAATCAAGCCATACGGTTCACTGGTTCATCCTCGTATTTTTATGCGTATGGGTTTTTTCAAGTTGGCTACGCAGTTTATGCGAGCAAACCATTTTCAGTTGCCCTATGGATCAATCCAGCATCAATGACATCTTCCACTATAGTTCAATTTTCTTGGTCTTTGACATCTTCTCGATGTCACAATTTAATGGGACTTTGGTCTAATACTGGTATAAACGGACAAATAGTAGTTCAAGGATGGGCATGGCCAATTATAATCGGTCCATTTATAAGCACAGGTACTTGGACGCATGTATCAGTGACATATAGCTTCACCAATGGACTTACTCTATATGTAAATGGAACACTTTTTGGTAGTACTGGTAGTGTTGCATTTTCTAATTCTGGCTATATAACTTATTTACAATTGGGATATATGTATTCTTGTACGTCGAATAGTATTACAAATAATGGTTATCAAGGTTCGGTAGATGAAGTCTACATTTACAGTCGTGAAATTACGCAAGCTGAAGTTTCGGCACTTGCTAGTGTATAAATATGAAGAAAAATAATTCATCACATAGACGATCGGCTTTTTTAGCTGAATTGACTCATTGATTTTATTTATAGTTAACGAATATACTTTTGTACTTCATTCATTTATATTTCTTTTATATACAATGGAATAATAAAAATCTTACTTTTGATTATTTGGTTATAATTTTAAAAAAAAGAAAGATGACTAATTATGCGCTGATGTTTGTTTTTGTTGTTTCATTTTAGATTATTCACATAAGAATATTGAATACATATATATTTTCTTAAATGTAAATTGCTTCTCGTAGAAATAAATATATTGAAACGCATCGTATTTGTAAGTGTAAATACATCGGTAAATGTAATGATATCGGTTGCCATTGCACGTATTTAAAAAAAAAGATAATATAGAGAAAAAAAATTATTTTATTAGTTAAAATCAAAATATATGCATGTGTGCTGAAAAAGAATGCTGCAAAAGAACAAAGAAAAGAACGAAAATAAAATGTCAACATTATAGTTCAAATTATCACAAAAAATAATTATGGATTTGCTAGAGCAGTAATTTCACTTTGAGTTATTTCACGATTGTGAACATATACTTCATCCATTGAACCTTGAAAAGCACTATTCGTAATAGAACTTGATGAGCAAACATAATTATATCCTAGCTGTAAATACATTATACGACCACTACTAGAAGATGTGAAAGTACCAGTGTTACCAAAAAGTGCTCCATTCACATACAATCGAAGTCCATTTGTTTGGCTGTATGTAGTTGAAATATGTGTCCATGTATTTGTTGTAATAAAAGGACCATACATACTATACCAAGCATAGCCTTGTACGATAATTTGCATTGCTGAACCTGTAGCTGAATAAAAACCAATAACGTTATAACATCCAGAACTAGTTGCAGATTGAGTTGTCTGAATTACAGCACAGCTAGCAATCGCCGTTGGGTTAATCCAAAAAGATATTGAAAATGGTTTGTTTGCCAAAACACCATAGCCAATCTGATAAAATCCATATGCATAAAAATATGATGATGAACCAGAAAAACGCATCGCTTCATTAACACGGCCAGATATAATAGCTGTATTGACAGCTGTGCCATTCAAGCCAAGTGGACCATTATCATTACTCGGATTTAACAGATCAAATGAAAAATAAGCTGTCACAGAAGCTAGACTTAAGATGTCTGTTGCAGACTTTGCTGTTGTTGATATTTTAAAATTATCAATATAGCCATTAAAATAACTTGTTGTTAGATAAACTTGAGCTGCGCCAATCAAAAGTGACCCGTTTGCACCTTGATAGGCATTTGCATTGGATTTTATTGTATCTTGCACTCCATTAACATATAAGATTTGTTGTTTTTTATCGTAATTGTAAACAAAAGCTACATGATACCAAACACTATTAGACAATGTTATACTACCACTTAAATCATTATTCATGAAACTAACATACAAATTATATGATCGAATAATAAAATATAGACATTGATTAGAACATGATCCACATTGGCATTGGCCAAATATACCGAAATCTACTGTACTACCAATTATTGGATAAATCCAAGCTTCAATAGTAAAACTTTTATTAGAAAGATCAAGAAATGGACTTGAAACAGTAAAATATTGATTTGATGACGATGTCAACGAAAGACCTCTACCATTGCCAACATACGGACTATTAATTGTATTTGAAAAGTATGATGCACTATTCACCAATATTCCATTATACACATTATAGAGATCTGTTGTTATAGCATCGAAAGACCAATATGCAATGGTTACAGATGTTGCTTGTGTAGTTGTTGCCGTTGCCGTTGAAGCTAAATTATAATTAAAATAGGTTAGGAAGAAAGTTAAGGATTTTGATGATGCATTCTTATGAAATAAAAGTCTCACTCTCATCCCTAGTCTAATTAGAATTTATTTTCCTAGCAATGCGTAAATTTGATTAACATATCAATGAGTTTACCTGATTTTCGCGAGACTAAAACGCCCACAACAATTGCTATGATGATAGCAACAACCGCAACACTACCTATGATAACGCCAACAATGATTTTCTTTGTTGTTGTCCATCTAAGATTGAATGGAAATAAAATGACAGAATAAAAACAGATCATTTACCCTGCCTTGGCAGCAGTACTCTTTAAACTTGATGTTGCCTTTGAATTTGTATTGGCATTCGATGTAGTAATTGGTCTCTGTCCGAGTTGAGATGGTGGAGTTTCGGATACTGTTTGAGATGTCTATGCAATTAAATAGAATGATAAAAAGAAATATCTTTATGTATTTGTTGAACTTACTGTTCTTTGTCCTAACATCTCTCTTCTTACTTCTGCAAATGTACTCTCATGATTACCATGAATATGTACTGGAGTTGGTATATACTGTGGACCATGAACCGAACCGCCCACTGGCATAATTGGAATATTTCCGGTTTTAAACTATAGCTAGGACAATTAAATAAGCAATTCTTTTAGTTAACACTAATAATAAACTTAATTAGGACACGCATCGCAGAATATATTTTCAGAGCGAGAATGCAGATTGGTATCGGTCAAGTATGATTACAAACAATCTGTATTCAGGCTCGGATTATCGGAAATTTTCCAAACACTATCTAGACTTATATCTGACTTTTATAGTATTATTCGGATACATGCTACTTATCCGATTTGTACTCAACATATTTTTCATACAACTTTAAAATGTGTATATTTTTATAGTCACTTCAAAAATTACATAAAGATATAGACATATGTGTGTAATCCGTTAAGAGCAACAGCAATCGATCAGATCGAGAAACGGAACTGTGTTAAAATCTAGTTCCAAGAGAATGTTCAAATTTCAACATTATTTGGACTTACACATATCACTTTCAAAGTGAAATGCGAAAGTTGCTCCATACTTACACGCAAGTCGAACAGTTCGAAGGGCTGTTAGAAAGTGTACGACTCATTCAATTAAGTTGTCGTGGATGAAAACTGCAAAATGGTTTCATTTCACGAAATATTCAATACAGACTTATACAATAAATTGCAAGCATTTTAACCTAGAATCCTACTGATTGCTTTTGTAGTGCTACCAATGTTATACGAATGCACGTGCGCGTTCACCCAAACGAAACTCTGAATAGTAGGCTTCACAGCATTTCTATATTTTCTTAGAACAACTATGAGTTACACCCACTCAAGAATTTCTTATATATTCATTAGAGTGAACAATCTACTTCTATCTAGGTCAAATGATGTGTGTGTTAAACTAATCATATTCGTAAGTCTTATTTCATCCAGAAGCCAAAACAACATATATGTGTACATTATTTTCAATGCTAGTCTAAGTTATTTACTAATTTATGTAAGCCTGTTAAAATATGTTATATTTACGGAATTTGGTTGAATAAGTTGAATTAAGAATATCACTGTAGCATTTATTTTCTCTTACCGTACTATGCTGCCTAGCAAAGGTAAAATTGGGCGGATTATATGTTTCGGGTTGTGATGTATTTCATTTTTCTGTCTTTGTTTGTATTTTATATTTTTCAAGTACATAAAAGAAAATAAGCACAAAATCAATAGAAAAATTTGCTAATGAAACATCATTAGATTAATGCTGCTAATGTATTTTTTGCCTGAAACAATATATAGAAAACAGATTACTCAAACTATTTCAAGGGCTTGGCAATGCTTTCAGGCGAACAAAAGAAAAAGAAATGCTTATTGAGGCAGTCAAAAGTTTGACTTCTTTTCTAGAATAATAAATACAAAAATCTATCCTATTATAAATATTGATCCAAGAAAATATCTATATTTTGAACGTTGATTATTAAATCAAAGCAGTAACATTTGTTATTTGCAAGTTATATGCCCAATTTTATTTTTGATTATAATCTTTAGAAAGAGAAAATTACAGAAGTAATTATCATTGACTTGCACAATACGTTTCAGTCTCTGTGACTGTGAAAGCCTTATAACGATATAAACCGAAATGGTCGTTGATGTGCTTTGACATTCTTATTGTTCACTGCTACTATAAGTCTACACATGCGTATGCTTTCTTTTCTATTACTAAAAGAGAAGAGTTTATATGACAATTGTCTTTTTAATATTAAAAGAAAATGGATATTTAGTTTTACAACAGCTCCACGGATGTTGTGAAGAAAAAAATAAGGTGGGTGTAATAGTAGTTTATTTTTTAGGATTGAGATCACAGCAACATTTGAATTGTTCTCTAGTAGCTATTTTTCAAAACGAACTTTCCTGAAAAGTATCATTGCTTTTCTAAACTAGGGGGTACAAGTCCCCACTCCTGCGATTGTCACATCACTGGATGGCTCTAAATCGCTATTTACAACTATGGCAGTCATATATCTTTTACAAGGGGGAAAAGGCGGACTTCGTACTCCCAGGATTTTTGGGATTTTCGGGTTCCCATCTTACTCAAAATCCCAATTTTTTTTCTAGATTACCTATATTTTTGAAGATGTGTATCGTATCTCCAAGTTCTCTTCCTCTTATTTCATGAAGCTATGATGATATTCATTCTTTTACTAGTAGAAAACCTTTTAGCGATTATAATATAAGTCTTAAAAAATCGCTTACAGAGATAACTACTGAAATAACAAACATAGAATATGCTCTATATTTCTTTTTGCAGTATCGATGAAAGAGAAATGAAAAGTAAGAACACTGATATCAACTGGCATAATCTGTAGCATCGCCTCAGAGATAAGATTCGTTTTATTAAACAAACTGATTAGTGAATTTGTCTCAGTTAATCAGATTATGAATGAACTATTTCATGTGCCAAGTGCAAGCAAACTATTTATTCACCTATTATCTCTTTAGATCTATTGAAGTTGGAAGAAAATTGCTGATAAATAGCAAGACAATACAGTTGCACACGAAATTGATTTTTCAAACTCTTGAGAAAAACGACACCCCCGCACTTTCATATGTAGATGAAGTGCTTTGTTTTGCCTATGTCAACATATTTTAAAGTGCCTTTAACGTTGCAGTGTTCTTTGCCACCAATATGAATAATCTTGAGTTCTATTTCATGAATCCTTCATAGATTTCTTTCTATTCATAATTATACTTTAAGTCATACTTCCTAGAAATATTTTCCATCGTCTTAGAAGAGAATAGCGAAGTATATAACTAGGAACGAGCAGTTATCATTATCGCAAAACCTCATCATTAAATAAGAATCACCGAGAATACTTATACACAAAAAGTGTTAATGAAATCGTTGATAACACCGATGGATCAATCGTGATGTACAGATACCGTCATATTCTTTCATGGAAAACAGTAGCTTTTTCCACCACCAGCCAGTGTTAAACGTTTCGACATCTGGGTTACTGTGTGATGCGATAATCAGCAACTCCATCTATCTGTGAGTTTTCAGTTCTTGTGAAAAACTTGGAGGGCTATATGAATGCGCAAAATGTGCGAAACATTCATCTTGTTTTCAAATCTTCCTATTCACTGAATAAATTATTATTTTATGCGAAGCTCTTGTGTTTCTGATATCCATTCCATTATCTGAATTCGATAAAATTATTAGTTAGTGTTTTTTTTTATCAACAAACGAGCATAAAGAATATTTTAGTAGGCACACCCGATCTTTTCACTTCGATAAGTATCTGTATGTAGCTTTGAAGCAATTGATATTCTCAACGGAAGAGCCTGCATTGATATTTTAAGACTTTATTAGAGAAAAGAATGCTCAACAAGTCTAGTGTAGTTTTTCTTTACAGCATCTATTTTAAAGAAATAGAATAAAATCAGTAGCAATTTGATTAAAGGAATAAAAATAGACGAAAAATTGATATTTAATCAATTATTATCGAAATTAATCTTAATGATCGATGAAACTTTGATTTTTGTCGGTTTTCTTTTATTAAAATGGATTAGCAATCGAGTTTTATCTTTTTTTTTATCTCGCAGTATCTGATTTTTACCCTAATTAGAAATATTTCTTTAGTATTATAATTGATTCACCGTTGAACTGACACGAAGCGATGAATATAGAGGATAAACCTGATTGTTTTGGTTTTATGAACTTCATATAAGGAAGGAAAACATATGAATCCTGCCGTTTTACATTCGTTGAACATACATATACTACCCATTTAACTGTCTTATCATTTTGTTTGCGATTTGAAATCTTTATCGTTGTTGATAGAATCGAAAAATCTGAGTAATTTATAACGCTTATAAAAAAAAGTTGCTCTTCTTTTTATCTCCACAATACATTTAGTGACACTGCCTCTGTGTTAGATTTTCAAAGCTTCGAACACATTAAATAATACTTTCTATACATGAGAACGACTCTTAATTTCATTGTGCTTCATAAAACCACATAACGCACTTCCAAAATAGCTGTAATATTTGAGGATCCCCGGGATTTTTATTGGATCCCTCGGATCCCCATGGGATTTCTTACGATTGGGGGCCTTGCGGATCCGCTTTTTCCCCCTTAATCTTTTATTTAATGAAAAATTTCATCCAATCAAACTTCATTATATGGTACACATTTTATATGCTTATATTTGAGATATAGCGAAGTAGGCAAAATCATCCATTTTTTGTTTTCAAACAAACACATTTCTCACTTGAATTCGCTTCAGACAGCCTTCAGACACATAAAATGCAAAGCAAGTTTATATTCTGCAATCATTTGTTTCAAAGAACGCAAAAAAAACATGCTCTTTTGGCAAATACTAAGAATTGCGCAAGAATGTCATACAAGTTATTTCACAACTTTGTAAAGAAAAACTATTACGAAAATCGATGTTGCATAAATTTTACATATACCAATAGATGGATACTATTTATATCTTATTTGAACTGTCTGATATTTTCTATTTATCATCATTTCTTAACCTATTAATTATATTCTGGCAAGTTTAGAAAAAAAGCACAGTAAGCGATGAACTTAGAATCTTTTTCTAATGAATTACTTCTGGATCTATTTGAATATGTTCCACCTGTTTCACTTCTTCGAGCATTTTATAATCTTAATGTTCGCTTCAATAATCTTATATTGATTCATTTTCAATCATTTAATCTTAATTGTCGATCGGTATCTCAACGCGATTTCAATCTTATTTGTCAAGAATATCTTCCAAGTATAGCCGATTACATTGTTTCCTTAAGCCTTTCCAATGGCGACGATACTCCAGAACAAATCGAACTTTTTCTTCAACATGGTTTAACTCTATATCAATTCATTCATTTAAAATCTCTTTCAATATGTGATCTTTGTTCTCGTGAGATAATGAATACGTTAATGGTTCAATGGATTCGCCTAGAAAATTTAACACATTTAACTCTTGCTGGTTGTTATGTTAAATTCGATCAGATCAATGCTCAACGGTTAATCGATAGTATTTGGAGTTTATCGAAGTTGATTTATTGTTATTTAAATCTAAATTTTGGTGAAAATAATATTTTTATACCAACAGTTATGTCTTCATCGTTGAAATATCTATTTATTTGGGGCAGTGAACATTGTCAAAATGAAATCAGTGCTTTAATTAAACAAACACCTTGTCTACGACATTTTTCTGTTCTACTCAACATTGATTCGAATAATGATAATGATGTACAAGAACCATTTTTGTCAATTACTCAGTTAGATATTTGCATATCTCGAATAGATGAAAATAGAATAACGAAATTCTTACAAAATATGCCAAATTTATATAGAATGACTGTAGACATGTCCAGTCTGGATGATGATAATGCAAATACAATTCTAAATGGTTATCAATGGGAGAATATTATTCATAAAAATCTATCGAATCTTCGAATATTTCGATTTAAAATGGAATTTCGAATTGTTAATGAAAACAATCGTGAAGAGAAAATCAATGAGTTAATCAATTCATTTCGAAGTCCATTTTGGCTTGAGAAACATAAATGGTTTATTCGATGTCATTGGAATCCAACCAATACTTCAAGTTTTATTTATTTTTACACATTACCATATAGTTACAGTTATTTTAATTTTGATCATTCAATGATCGTTAAATCAACTTCTCCTAATGAAAATATGTTTATACATTACAATTGTGTACATAATCTTACATATGAAAGTTTGTCGAATGAAGACATTGTTTCATCACCAATTCAATTTGCCAATCTTCAAAGTTTATCTTTGAAACTTCCTATAGATGGTTATTTATATTCGATGATACAGAAGTTTGATCAATTAAAGTCTCTTAGTGTCCAATTAAATGATGATGATACTAATATTTCATATCAATTTCAATTTTTTCTTGATAATATACCAAATCTGCATTCATTACGTTATAGTTCATGTTCAGCACACTTCCCGGACATGTCCTTTTTCGAGTTTCAACATTCATCAATCCATCATCTAGATTTACGAGGATACAATCAATATTTTACTGATGAACAATGTATCATGTTGACTCATTCGTTATTGGCTATTCAATGTGAAATTCTCTTCATTAGAATTCAAAATCATCGAATGATATTTTATCTTTTACATAATATGATTAATCTTCGCACGCTGAATGTTCAATGTGAAGATGCTAATTTCGATGAAACCAGAGAAGATAAATTTATTGTTTGGTTAAAAGAACATTTGCCATCGACATATATTGTTAGCAGAGATATGGTTTTTCAAGGTGATATTCGAATATGGATTCGTTAAAAAAATAAAATACAAAATAAAATCTCTATTAATGAACATCTATCTAATCTAAATTTTTATTTTTTTTGTCCAGTCACGATTAATCTCTGTCAACTAAATCAATTTGCGCTTCATCACTTCGTAATTCTAAGCTAAAACTTTTGAAACACTATTGATAACACGTATAGTGATGAATCATCAAAACATGTATTGAGTGAAAACTTCTGTATTCCATTCTGTTATTATTCGTTATAAGTGTTTTACGCAATAAATTTTTTATTTCAACAAATTATAGAACAACTTTTATTAAACTGACACTAATCACGGATAGAAAATGATAAACATAGAGCGTGGTCTTTGATCACGTTATTGTCAGTCAACAAATTTCTAATTTGAAAAATGTTTTTATCTCACAGAAAAAGATGTGATATACGTATGAACATTCTTTAAAAGCTTCGAAAGTACTCAATCAACAGAGATATCACTGTATTAAATGCCTTAAGTAAAAACAGATGATTCTTTTTATACACTATCCATTGGAAAATATTTTCAATAGATAAATACAGCAATCTCTCTTGTTGGCTAAATGTAGTTCACGATGTTACTTATCAGACATGGACCAAGTCAGAGGTTTCTCAATCATAAGTCCCTTTCTTGTCATTTTTCTTCATTATTATCCAAAACTTCTTCAATTCGATACTGATAAAAAAGAATGCAGATGATGCTTTTTCTATAATTTGTCGAGCTTGCCGAGTCGAATAGTGAAATTTTGTTTTACTTACGAAAGAAATTGTACAGAAAATATAGGGTTAATCAATTTATTTGGTAATTCATTGGCATTGAAAAAGCATACTTGTCTCATCGGTACTAGCTGAATTTCGGTTGATATTCTTTATACTTTCTACCAATGCCATAATTGAGATGTTCAACTTAATGACTCCATCAGCTGGAGTTACAAGAACTCAATGACTATTCTATTCATGAACAATTTAATGTGTGACATCATGAATAACAAAATATCAAATACCAAAATGATTTAGTTAGTCAAATGGATAAAAATAAACCTCTAGTTCAGTAAAAAAAAAACATTTAGTTTTGACATACATTATTAATAGAAGTGTAGGTTTTAATCGATATATTTCACTCTGAGCTCATCGAAAGAATGAAAAGTTATAATATTTTCTCATAGAATGCATTTTATTTAAGAGAAATTATTTTTCTACGCTATTAACTTGAAAATTTTATTGGTTAATAATGTTGTAAACATCTCTTGATTCATAACTAGCCTATACAAAGTTTGATATTAATAAAGTTCTTCAATTATTCCCCTTTTTTTATGTACTATGTACTTGACATGACCGTCTGTGAAAATTAATCGGAGAGGAAAAGCCGCATATGAGGATTTCATCACAATTAGAAACACTTCACTTTCTGGTTCAATTAATCAAATATGGTTAGTGTTTGTTAAAAATAAATGTCAAAAAATTTTTAAAAAATGAGATTCTAGCGTTTATACAGAATCAGTCACGACTAAATCAGCATTCATATCGCTGTTGGAGATAAATACAAAAAAAACTATCCATGTCATCATCATTAATTTCGGCTCTTCTTCAAACTAATCAACGAATAATTACGGTGGCATATCAATAAATATTCTTGGTGTTATAGACTGACTTCTAAATAACACTGTTTTTCTTAGCTTTAAAACTTTTCGAGAAAGTTCTTGTGCATTTTATTTAACTATTCTCTCCATCGTCAATATCAATATTAGTCAATTAGTTACAAACATACACGTATCATGGATAACTGGATTTAATATTGATTGGACACAAACTTCTTTATTCTATTGTAAATTTCGAGCATATGCTTTTCAATCTACAGCAATGATTTCGTTTTCATACGTCTGCATGGCAACGATCGATCAATATTTTGCAGCATATTTCCGTGTTCGATAGTAACGCTGGAGTAATGTCAAACGTGCACGTCGTATAATGATCATTGCCATTCCTATCGTCATCATTGAACAAAGTCCATGTCTATTTGTGTACAATCATGTAAAAATATCAACAATCAATATCGTAACCTGTACAATTCTTAATGAATCTTTTATTCGATTTAATACTTCCTTTGATTATCTCATTGTTGGCAATTTTTTTCCCTATTCAATAGCATTTACATTCGGATTAATGGCTTATCGTAATATGCAAGAGTTATCCTATCGAACCGCACCCTTAGTTCGACCCGAATTAGATAAACAATTACCAGTTATGGTTCTTATTCAAGTTATTTGTACAGTTTTCTCAATATTTCCAAGTTTAGTTGCCTATTTGATTCTTGTGTATGGAAGTATTCAAGATTTAGTCATTGTTGCAAGATTACGTATTGCTTATGTTGTCATGACATGTTTTTATTATAGTTATTTTGCTGTAAGCGTCTAATTTTTCAAAGAAGAGTTTCTATTGAATTGATAGTTGCTGTTTTTGTGTACTCAAAAAAGTGAGTACACTCTAGAATCGGTCAGTGTGTCCGTCCGGCCGTCCGTTTACACAATAACTCTCGAAAGGAGAGTTAGATCATGATGACATTTTCTACACAGTTCAGCCTCATTAATGTCTCAGTCGAGTTCGAAGATGAGAAGGATCCGCCAAGAAATGGTTGAGTTATCGAAAAAATTGTCATTATTGACCAATCCAACCCTGAGGGGGGGTACAGGGATTTTTCAAAAAAAAAATTTTTCTTAGAATTATTCACAACACATATAAATCGACTCAGTTTTTAACGCTGATTCCGAATCTGATATTAATTTTGAACCAAATCGTAGCTTTCTAACAAAATATCGCCTAAGAAAGGTCTCAAAAATGCACAAAAACTGCATCCAGAAACCAAATTGGCTAGATATATTTCAGATGACCAGTAGTTTTGGGGTTTCTCAAATGCCTGGTTTTGTAGCTAGCCAAAAGGACTATCGAAAGGTAAAAACTCGAACTCGATAGCTATTAATATTGGTGATTTATTAGGAGAATACTGATGCCTGTATCTATCATATATCTCTTATAGATTCATGAGGTTCCTTACGATCGTAATTCCGCTAGATACAAGCGCAAATCCATTCAAAAATAACTCTTCTTGCCCAGTTTTCCAAGCTAAACACGAATCTGAACTTAATTTCTGTGATTTCTAAAGATATTATATCACTCTAAGAGTAGAGTCAGTGGTCACCGGATATGGTCGCATACAGTGTGGTCCATGCTAACTTAGCACGCCTGTATTTTCTCCTTGCAATTTAGTGACAAGGGATTATCTTGATGAGATCTATGTCTTATAGAAAAAAAAAGTGAATATACCTTTTCACTTTTTGAAGTACACATAACACTCGGATTTAAATCCGAGGTTTTCGCATTTATTTGTTTTATAATCCAGAGTCCATTTTATATCTACGTATGTGTATCGGAAAGATTTCGTCGGCAATTATTTCATGCCAATTCTAAGGGTTATTTAAAGAGACTTCAGCGACGAGTAGATGTTATTTATCCAGTGGCTGTTTCCAGCTAAACAATTCATGACTATTATTTAGAATCAATATGTGGTTTTATTTTTTGCTCACGAGATTGACTTGAATAAAAAAATAACAATTTACTTTTAGTTATTTCTCACAAAAACACGAAGAGAGAATACTACTAACTTTGAGCACTCTAGACTATTTTAGTTTTCTTTTTTTTTACAACCAAACCAGTGAAGACTTTGGTAGTCAACATTATAAACTCTAGTCCTTTAAAATGCAAAATACTACTATGAATGAGCTTCGGCTGAAATACTTAATTAAAGTTTTATCGCGAATTTACATTACTTAAAAGACTTTTAGTATGTTGTAAATTGAAGTGGTAGAACCAATCCTTTTGTTTTTCGTTATTCAATTTCTCGTAGATTCCGATCGATTATATATAGCTGTGTTGTTTGTCGAATGTGGATTCACTATGAACTTGTTTGTTCTCAAAAGAATAATTTAAAAATAAAATTTATAGGGAAAAAGCAATTCTAGAAAGTCATGGCCTATATCATCATATTAATCTATTTTACATATTAAAATTATTTGCTTTTCCATGAATTCTAGATTTTGTTCCACCTAGCAAAATAGTTTAATTTGGTGAATTTTAGTACTTTGAAATATTGTTTTACGTCAGTCTATCTGGCATCCTAATTCGACATTTTACTTATTCTAATCCTATGAACTTTATATCAATTGAACTATATTAATTGTTACTATACATATCATATATTTTATAAAATCATTTCGTGGGAATAATATAAGCATAAAAGTACTATCATCAAAACTTGTGATAGGAGTGACACAGTCTAAAAAGTCCTCTATATAATAGAACAGATGTTCATGGATTAATATCTGGTGTCAGTAAATATGGGAGAGCTCACGAAGATTCTAATTATTATTGATAAATCTAAAACTGTTCTATGACACACAGGATGATCCCATTCGAAAGTATAATCCTTGTACTTGGAAAAGAATTTTATTTTTCCATGGCTAACAGTTATTTATTTATTAAATATTAGAAGTAGTCAAGTGTCATCGAATGAGAATAAGTTATTATTTATCAGACACAACTTCATTTTTTCTTTTAATATTTTGTATCATTCTTTTTCTTTCATAAATAGAAAGTTCTTATCAATTATTATTTTTAGAATAATCTAAATGTGTATACATAAAATGGTGTATCTTCTATTTACGACAGTCTGTTCTTTCATTCTTTTTCTTAATCATTATTCGATGACTGCTCTTTTATATTTTACTAGCTTATTGTTAGTATGTCGTGGTGTATCGTCAATTGATGTTATGAGATATGCATCTGTTCAATATTCTATTCTCTATTATGAATTTGTCGATTCATCAGGAACCTTTTATCCATCATATGGTTATCCATTAGACGATGAATGGAAGTCTACGACGGCTACCAATGGATGGACACAAGGTTTTTTTCCTGGAGTTCTATGGAATATCGTTGCATATAATGCTACTCGAGAATCTTTAAAACGTGCAATTGATGTTACAACGCCAACTGCTGCATTTGCCAATAATACAGGAACACATGATGTCGGCTTTGTAATTATGTCTGGCTTTGGTAATGCATATCGTTTATTGAAACTATCCGAATATTTAGATGTTATTGTAACTGCTGCTCGTTCGTTAGCAACTCGATATTCACCGATTGTTCGATGTATACGTTCATGGAATAGTCCCACGGGATATTTGGTTATTATTGATAATATGATGAATTTAGAATTGCTATTTGAAGCAAGTAATCAAACAAAAGATCAGACATTATATAATATAGCATGGCAACATGCAAATCGAACCATGTATGAACATTTTCGATCTGATAATAGTTCTTATCATGTCGTAGAATATAATGAAACAGATGGTAGTGTCGTTCGAAAATATACTGCTCAAGGTAAAATTACAGGTCGTTTCATGTATTTTCTTAACTTTATTTTCTTATAGGTTATGCAGATTGGTCAACATGGAGTCGAGGACAATCATGGGCTGTTCATGGATTTACTATAGCATATCGTTATACAAAATATCAACCATTTCTTGATAAAGCTATCGGTGCTGCAAATTATGTTTTAACTCATCTTCCAAGTAGCACAGATTTAGTGACCTATTGGGACTATGATGCTCCTCATAACTCAACTTTAGCCTATCAACCAAGAGATACCTCTGCTGCGGCTATTTTCGCTAGTGCCCTTGTTGAACTATCTCAGTATGCACCTACATGCAATTTGAAAGATAGCTTTTTGGCGAATGCTAAAGCTATTGTCGATCAATTGTCGACTCCACAATATTTGATATATGGCGATAAAGATTATAAGCTACCTGCTTTGCTTACAAATGGAACCATGGGTCCTTATCCAAAAAGTCCATATGATGTATCATTAGCCTATGGTGATTATTATCTAACACAAGCCATCGTACGTTTGGCAAAACTTTAATTATTTTATAAACCGATGAAAATTTATTTTTTTCGAGCAAAAATAAATTTGTCTCCTGCTATGTTAGTTTTAATACATTTTGAACGAGTCTCAAAAATGAATTAGCTAAAAGGAATGTTCATGTATATCATCGCTGATAGAAAATGTATTGTTTTTAGTCTAGAATTCTCCATAGAATTAGTGCAGTTTTGTATCGATAACTTCTACAAAGAATTATTAGTTATGAAACAATGTTTTCTTCTTTCAATTGCAGTTTTGCTTTCTATCTATTACAGTAGAAAATAGAATTCAATGATTGTGTGACACGAAATGATTGCATCATTATTTTCCGACTGTTCTTCACTAATTCTCTCTCATAAGAATATTGAAAATTCATTATACAAGACTACATTGTTATCATACTGTGACTCTTCTTTTTATTATAAATCATTGTCTTTTTGCTGATATTATTTAGCATTAGTGCAACTCTTGATGTCATGTATAATGCATTCGATCTTTATTGAAAAAGTTATTTATACATCTGAATCAAAAATTGCACTGTATGATATGACAGCGAGCTAATCGAATAATGTAGCTATGCCATTGCATGATGATATCAAGTGTATATTTCTATTTAGGTTTGTACATAGGTCATTCTTGGATTCACTACTGTTTAACGTTATTCGAAATGTTAAAAAATATGTAATAAAACATGGATACTAAACCGAATGTTTTAACTCATATTTCAATTAAAAACGATCTAGTCACGTTTTTCAAACGGTTAGAGACTCAATTCTCGCATCAATATATAATTTATAATATCGTGTAAATACTACTATCGTGAGGTAGTTGATACATACAATAGATAGATAGATGTCGCTTACTAACAATAATTCGATGAGTATTCTATATATTGGATGGTGCAGTTCTTGTATCCAATAAAAACTTCAACGTCGTACCTATTTTCGTTTTGATCCATTTATTGTAGGTGTATCAATATATTTTTGTCGATTATTTCGTGCAATTTCCCATTGTTGTATTTATTTATTTTTCTGACAAATTATGGCAACAAATACAATAGACGATGGAGAAATTGCACTTGAAAATAATGATAAAACAGAAGAAAGTACATCCCCTCCAAAAGATGAATGTAATGTTGCACTCAGTGATACTCCATTTCATTTACTCGAAAGCCGCTGGACATTTTGGTATACGCATCGGCCAACAACTTTTCGCAACAGTTCTGTTAATTATGATTCCTGTTTAAAAAAACTTGGTAAGTTCATTTGGTTTTTCTAACCGATGTTTTTTCCTTATGGACTCTTCTCTAATAGGTTCATTCGGTTCCATAGAAGAATTTTGGTGCTACTATGATCATATGAAATTTCCATCAGAACTTCCACTATATAGGTTTTATTCTTACAAAGGAATCTTGTTTTTTTTAAATAAATTTAATGTTGCAGTGACGTACATCTATTTAAAGAGAATTTAAAACCAATGTGGGAAGAAGAAGGAAATCGTCTTGGTGGTAAATGGATTTTACGTTTAAAGAAAGGTTTATCAACTCGTCTATGGGAACTTCTTGTTTTGGCTCTTATTGGCGAACAATTTAATGTTGGAAAAGAAATATGTGGAATTGTATGTTCTATTCGTCCACAAGAAGATCTTATTAGTATATGGACAAAAACGGCAAATAATCAAGTAATTACACAACGAATTAAAGAAACAATGAAAAAAGTTCTGAATTTACCACTAGAGTGTAAGTAACAAGGATTTTATTCATTTCGAGAATCAACATTAATATTAAAAATACTATTCACTCATAGGTAGTTATTCCATTAATGTGTGAAATCTTGACTTTTTAAAGGTGTAGGAAACCTAGGAAACAGTTGCTTTTTTGTTTTCAACTATGCTTGATAATCCATATTGAGTTGGATCTTGATCTAGTCTGGAATATCAAATAGGATAAAAGTCAATGATAGATTGACTATGAGAACACTTACGAGTGCAATCGCGATAATCAATTTTTTAATGCTAACTTAAGGTTTTGGAAAGGATTGATATTAAACGGGGATTTTTATAAATTGAGAAGAACTTTCATTTTGGCAAATGGTATTAGTATCTAGAAAGCTTATGATTCTTGAAAAGCATATATTCGATGAACAGCTACGAACATCAATGCTTTTAATATCAGAAGTAACTGAAAATCATTTTTTCTGCAATATAAATTGTTTAAAGTTACCCGTAACACTGCTGAGAACAATATAGAGGTTTTATTTACGATATGAATTTGCACGTAACTCATGAATATGTAATCATTTTCAAGAATATATAAATGCATTTGGAGATTATCTTCAAATAAAAAGTTGAAACAGTTTTCTAAAGGGCTTCTTTTTGTACATGGAGATTTAATTTAATTTTAGGCCCACTCGAATACAAAACACATAATGATTCCTTGCGTGACAATTGTAGCTATCGCAATACAGATCGTGTTCGGTGAATTGAACATTAATATATTATTTATACTTGGATTCTTTGATTTTTCTTCATGCCTCGAACGCAGATATTATATTACATGTTCGTATTCCTATCTCATTGTATTTGTTTTTTTTCTTCTTTCTTTTAAACAAAACGTAGAGATTTATTCTTCGTTGTTGTCATGTATTTGTTGATTTGATTAAAAAAACCTAAGAAATCTTCTCGTTTATTTAAGATAATGAATTCATTCGCTATTTAATCATCATTCACTTGTGATATTAGAATAGAATATACAGTTACAAGACAGATGATATGCATAAAATATCATTTTTGTTTTTACAGAATCGAGCTATCACTCTATGTTAAATTCCTTGAAAGATGTCAGCAAGACGAAAGAAAACAAAAACTTCAATTATTTGCCTTTAGAGCCGAATCGTGACAATTATACTAAATTCTTAACTCATGCGTCAAGGATTTAATTGTAGTTAATATCATGAACTTGCAAGAAATAATTTTCTCCTATAGACATGTCCCTGGAATTGAGTTCACTTCGAAACTCAATACCGTCACATAAGAATTGTTATAGTCGATAGTTAATTTCACAAGATTGTAAAATTTCTTATAAATTCCTATGAGTAAAGCTACAGTTCGAAAATTTAGTACACATCTCGATACTGCCAACGTCTCTTGGCGTATATTACAAAAATAAAGTCATCGATTTTCGACGCACACTTAACTTTGACTATCACTTCACTAGAACAAACTTGATCCACTGATTAGGTTTAATATCAGGAACAATATCGATGAAGCAAAATGTGTCACAAAAAAACCTAACCTATGACTTCTTCAACTTGTTACGCTAAAATAAGAAGCTACATAGTTTCAATGGTAAGTATTATTGAATGAGTTATGACAAGATCATACTCAATTTCCGTATTGATTCTCTCTGTTTAAAATTGAATTAACAGGGGATTTTAATCGCATAAAAATCGTTCTATAGTAGATACAATTTTTGCTTTAGTGTAATTTATACAATAAACTAATATCTTTATTGCAGATGAGTAAAGCTTTTGAATCTCCTAAATTAATTTGGTGGATTATTATTCCTACGTGTATAGTCCATCTATTTCTTATGGCGCATTGGCCGTATCCAATACCTTTTCGGTATTTGGGTCTATTTGGTGATTTCTGTTATTATTTAATATCTAATTATCGTATTTTATTATGTCTTATTCTATGGGCTACTGTAATTGCACACTTATTTGAAGCAATAGCTGCACGTCAAATATGTTCACAATTGAACATCGATCAAGATTCAACATATTTATGGATGATACAAACGTTTATCTTAGGTTTTTATTTATTCTCTTGTTGATGATTTAATATACAGCGTTCCGTTTTGTTTTATAGGATATCCTTCGTTGAGTATTCTACAAGGATATAAACGTCGAGGGTTATGGTAAAGTTTATGTGAGACTCATTATTGAATGATAATAGGTCTGTTTTCGTTTTTTTGTATAATTAATAAAACTATAAATTTTTATTTATTATAAAAGTAAATCAATCATAAAGTGTTTGATATATATAATTAAGTCTATTTCAGAAAATTCACTCAATTCATTATACATTCGAGTACATAGAATGTGCAAGACTTTGTAAATTTTCAAATTATATTTATAATGTTACGCTCTTTAAATTTATTTTCACGTAACTGTCGTTTTCTACACAACAGCAAGTAAGAAAGAAAAGTTTTATTTATTTATCTCATTTTGCTTGTTTAAGTTTTACAATCAACATGTCATCATCGTCGAATAATCAACAAGCTAAACCACCAGCAATGAATTTATCTGATGCAGAATGGAAAAAGAAGTTAACTAATAAACAATATCGTATATTAAGACAAAAAGATACAGAATATCCGGGTACTGGTGAATATGATAAACATTTTGAAACTGGAATCTACAAATGTGCTGGCTGTGGACAAGAATTATATGAGTAAAATTTTATAGGATACTTACTTTTGTTTTGAAATGAATAGAATTATTCTGTTGCCATAGTTCTTCATCAAAATTTGATTCACGTTGTGGTTGGCCAGCATTCAGTTCTTCAATTGATACAGCAGTTCGACGACACGTAGATGCAGATGGTTACCGAGAGGAAATCTCATGTGCGACTTGCAACGGTCATTTAGGTTTGTCTAAGATTTCTATAATGAACGAGAGCATTTTTAAGAAATAAATTCATTACTTCCTGTTTCCATCGATGCATTTATATTGTATTGATTTTACATATTTCTACAAAGAAGTTCGTTGAGATTTATTGCAAATTCCTATCCATTAAAAGCGCAATATGAAAGTATCAAAAGAAAAAAAATCGTATCTATTATATTCTCAATATTTTCCCATTGCCTATCACTGAGAATTTTTTGATTCGATTTTGAGATAATCCGAAGTTTTTCTATGTATTTAGGTCATGTCTTCGCTGGTGAAGGACTACGCGATGCTAATGGTAAAATAGTTCGAGAACGTCATTGTGTCAATTCGGCATCACTTCAATTTCAAAGGGGAAAATAATATTTATACTTTGTAAATAAACTTTCAGTTGTGTTTTATAGAAATAATTAGACAAATAAAATATGCAGTTAAAATCTGGCGTAAATCAAACTATCGTCGTTGTATAAATAATCTTATAGCAATGGTTATTGATTCAAGAGGTGGACTATCAAAAACTTATCATATAAAATACATGCCACGAATAACATTGATGTGCTCTCACGATTTTTTTCTTACACTATGATAGCACATAATTGACCAGTTCTATTTTTTTCCGGCGGATCCTAAAGTCTAATCGACTACTTTCAAAAACCCAATAAGATTTCGGAGGATCATTCATGACTCATTTCAAATCGAGGAATACTTATATCTTTTGCCATATTCTCAATTTCTTATATAATGAATATTTGTATTCTAGACGAAGTATTAGATCCATTTAGCAGAAAACTTTTTATTTCGAAATTATTATTTAGTTGCCATTCTAAGTAAGTTTACTTCCGATCTTTTAAGACCTCATATATTGATGCGTGCATGATGTTAGTTAGATTGGTTGAATAATTTATGTATTTCTTGGAAACTTTACTAATATTGTATGCAATGATTATCAAATCTCCTAATACAAGTATGATGTGTATTTCGTATCTTTTATAAAACAACTCTACTGTCTTTTTCATTAATCCTATTCAAATAATACAGTTAAATTGGAGTAAGTAAACTAATGATAGGTTTTAAGAGTTTGATTCGTGCAGACACGGCGAATGAACTGAACTTAAATTTTAGCCGAAAAAACTTGCTTAATGCAGACAAATTATGTTTTTCTTTTAGAATTGTAGAATTTTTCGATAGGATTCTACTTTAAAAATGACTGCATATTTACTAACTATGAGAAAAAATATTTCAAGTCAAAGGAAAGGCAAACCGAGCTTCAAAAAACATTTTATGTGTTCTTCTTTTTTTTTAAACAAAAGTACATACATCAACGTGTGTCATAATTACTACGTAAGTATACTTAACGAAAAGGTGCGCAAAAAAATGAATGGCCGTCTCATACATATTGTCAGAAGTAGCTTTTTTCTTTCTTTCTTCCTTATGTTGTCATTCACTTTGCATCGTGTATTCAGTCATACATTCATTTTTACAAAGGATATTGCCTGAATAAATACCGGAGACAGAAAGAAACATAAAAAATCATCGAAGTCGTACTCACACGTTTTTTTACATCCATCAGTATTAAAGAAAACTACGAGAAAGTAATAATGTATCCAAATCTGGGACCAGGAAACACACAACCATCGAACAGGTCAATGCCACCTTCAACATCAACGTCGGTATTAATGTCTAATCCTAATATGAATACAAAACCATTAGGATTTTCTAGTTTGATGTTGAATCCATCTGCTCAAAATGCAACTTATCCTGGAGCACAATCATCCCAACTACCATATCCAAGTGCGCCTCCGGCACCATCATATACAGCTCCCTATCCAACAAATGCTCAATCATCGAATGCAAGCTCTTTTTCATCATACTCACTACCTAACGTTGGACAACCCACAGCAACAAATCAAGGTCAGCTTCAATGATTAAATTTAAAATCTAATAAGTACTATTATAAGTTGATCATTAATACTTAAATGTTTGTAGGTGGCGCCTCTAGCCAAAGTTCAAATCCACCGGTTTATCCTGGTAATCAGCTACCACTATCAAGTTAGCCGAAATTTAAATTCCAACGAAATATTAAGTTTTAATATTAATAAATATAATTTCTTTTAGCAAATTCAAGCACTAATCAAAATCCTTCCCCACCTCAGCAAGGTAAACAACCATTTAGTTGAAATCCAATAACATAATTCGAAGAATTAACTAGGTGTTTATTCACAAAACAATCCACAACAACAGTCATTTAATAAACCCAATGGTCCATCAAATCCACAGCAACAACCATTTCAGAATCCTTACGGATCATCGAATCCACAACAACAACCATTTCCAAATGCATATGGTCCATCGTATTCACAACAGCAACCTTATCAAAATCCAAACGGTCCATCAAATCTACAGCAACAACCATTTCAGAATTCCTATGGACCATCGTACCCGCAGCAACAACAACCATTTCCAAATGCATATGGTCCATCGTATCCACAACAGCAACCTTATCAAAATCCAAATGATCCTTCGTATCCACAGCAGCAAGCATTTCAGAATTCCTATGGGCCATCGTACCCGCAGCAACAACAACCATTTCCAAATCCAAATAGACCATCGTATCCTCAGCAACAGCCCTCGAATAATCCTTATGCGCCATCGTATCCTCAACAGTCTCAAGGTAATATTATACTTTTTCAGAATAGTCGAAGTTTTCTTTTACAAAAGATTTATTTTTGAATAGGTGGATATCCTCAAAACGATCCCCGACAAGCATTTGGTTTGCAGTTTGCAATGATTCGATTTCATATTTTCATTTTTATTTAAGGTGGTGGCTACAATGCAAACACTAACAAAGATCGTATTCGTAACATATCTGGAAAATATGAAATTAGTGATATGTTAGCACAGCGTTTAAATATACTTCAACAATTCGAAATTGTTGTATTGTGCGATGATTCTGGTTCAATGAATACACCGGTCAGCGGTACAAATGGTACTCGTTGGGATGAATTACGAGCTATCGTACAAATTGTTATCGATATTGGTACCGTATTTGATTCGAATGGAGTTGATGTACATTTTCTTAATCGACCTGCTATGCTCAATGTTACAGATCCTGCACAAGTTGTAGAATCATTTAGTCAATCTCCGAAAGGATTGACACCTCTTACGCCTGCTTTACGACGAATTTTTCAATCAGGAGCAAGTAAACCAAATAGTAACAAACGTTTATTAGTTTTCATTGCCACAGATGGAGCGCCAACAGATAATCTTGGTAATGTCGATATAAGAAGTTTAGAAAATCTAATGCGAAATGAACGTCAAGCAAATAGTATGTATGTAACATTTTTGGCTTGTACAGATGACGACTCCAGTGTAGAATATTTATCACAATGGGATCGTTCTATGGTAAATGTTGATGTTGTGGATGATTATAAAACAGAACGAGAAGAAGTACGTCGAACTCAAGGACCCAATTATCCATTTTCGTTTGGAGACTACGTTGTTAAAGCATTGATTGGTGCTGTGGATCCGCAAATGGATTCTATCGATGAATATAGAAGATAGTTCTAAATTTTGTGACCTTATTTTTTTATTAATCAAGACTACTGTAAAAACAAAGTTATTTTAAAACTACATTAATATTTATACAAGCAATGTGAGTTGACTTTTAAACATTGTTTATCTTACTAATTTCAACTCACAAGTAAAATTATATAAAAGCTGAAATTTATATAAGTATTAAAAAAATACTTTAAATCTGTTTTCATTGTTTTTTAAAATACTTTCTTAGAGAAATCGTTCGAGTATGTTTTGAAAATAATATCTCATATATCAGAAACAAACAGCTATCTTATGAAAACTGGTTTCGAAGAAATAAATAAACAGCAAACGTTGCGATATGTATGCATACATTGATTGAAATGGATTACCGAATGTCTGTTATTACGAATAGAATTTCTCTTCATTGAATCCTTATTGTAAACACTACAAGAACAGTTGTAGCAATTTTTTTGTCTACTATCAACGAAGATAACAGCTGAAAACAAAATACACTTACAACTCAATGGATTGATAGAAAAGAAATGACAAAAATTTATTTTGATGTGTTTAATCATTTTTATTTTTATCTAGAAAATTACCTGTGATACATATAATAATGTTACGTTCGATAATAGAGATTGTAGAAAAAAATAAACAAGAAGTATATTAACTCTTATCAGATTTCATTTCAATAATGACATCTGGTATTGATCCACATGTGTAATCTTTGCAAGGATATGATAACTGATCACTTTTCTTTTTCCATGTCGATGTGGTTGGATCAACAACCGTCTCTTCTTTTCCACCCATCCTATTCACCTAGATATGTCTTGTCACTGGATTGGTTGCTGGAGTAAAAGCATATTTGAATCCTTCTCATTTTGCTCATAATTAATCATAGCCGTGTTCAACTGACTAGTTATGCTTTTACCTGAATGCTTGGAACTGGCTGCAGTCAATTGCATCTGTAAAACTAAATTTAGTTGTAATTCTTGACCGAAATCCTTTACGATAAAAACATTATCCATTTCATCAAGTAAATCAAATATTGGATTGGCATTTGGAGGACAAGAAGCATCATATGGATGTCGATGATGATATCGATATAAATCACCAGCAATAGCAGCACCAACAATTTCTCTAGATGAACAATGATTCACAAGGAATGATAATCGTTCATCGAGCAATTCTGCCGTCAGTGACCATGACCCATGCCATGACCATTCCTTGAAAAAATCTACTGGTGTTTGTTTTCCAAAGATAGTCAGAGGATTATGTACAGAAAACTCCACTGCAATCAGTTCAGCACAAAGTGCATCGTTTTCATCAGAGATGGGCAAGTCAAGTCAAAAAATGACTTGAATCGGGTCAAATCAAGTCAAGTCAGACTTGACTCGACTTGACTTGATGATTTTTTTGAATGGATTATGACTTGACTTGACTTGACTTGCAACAAGTCGTACAGAGAAATTCAAGTCAAGTCAAAATTATATGTATAGAGAACTTTTATTAATTGAATTTCTGAACTCTAATTTGAAATGTAGAAGAAAAATACAAATAATAAATCAAAGATGGGCAAGTCAAGTCAAAAAATGACTTCACCTGATGATTTTTTGAATGAATTATGACTCAAATTGACTTGACTTGAAAACGTCTGACTTGACTTGAAATCAGACTTGACTTGACTTGAAAATATTTTGAACTACTCATGACTTGACTTGACTTGACTTGACTTGAAATTTTCAGAAACTCACTTGACTTGACTTGAGTCGAAAAAACGCTGACTTGCCCATCTCTGGTTTTCATTGTTAATCATTTCATAGATATATTCATCGACAGTCATATTTGGTTGATTTTATGCAAAAACGAATAGAACAAGAAAATAAAACTTATCATGTGATTTTATTATTTTGTTGCCTTTCTTTCTTTTCTGTTCTTTCTGATAATATTTTGTTCTGTCTTACTGTTATAGATCCCCATTGCATCACAATACATAAAATGTCTTTTTGCAACGAGTTAATGTTATGACAGTTTGAATGTATCCTATAGCTACTACATGATCTATAGCAAAGACTCTAACAGGACTATAATACTAATCGAGACTATGCTCTTCACTATTTATTTCTTGGCGACCCTATGATGCCAGTTTTCTCAAAAATTTGTCATTTCGAGTGTTATTCTAAAAGTTCAATATTTTGGATAAATTCTCTTTAAGATTTATGTGAGTAAAATTTTAGATCAGCATGTAATCCGGAGTCTTTTGAGGTTTCTATCGAGTGTTTCAATTAAAACCTCTCCATGCGGAATGCAGACGTGCAATAAAGTCTTCTGATTGGTGATTCCAATGCAATCAGAACAAATAAATTTGATGGATAGATTATCCTATGTGTAAATTATCATTAATCTTTTACATTTGAAAAAGTCTTAAATTTAACTAATCAGTAAACGATTGCACTCATGAAGAGTTTATCATTTATCTATCAAAAACACTTTCCACTGTTATCATATTATATGCTACAATTAAAATGGATATATTTGTAGTATTTAAAAGGACTTCCAAGCTATAGAATAAAGAGTGACTGTCTAATTAGAATCTTTTCTTTCATAATTCAATCATTTTTTTCATTTTGTTTCTGAAAATTTGATAATGCGTAAACAATTTTAAAAAATTCACATCGTTCCTGATTTAGCGGTTTAATTGTTTACCATCTTCAACAACTAAAAATAGATTCACGGTTTTATTTTTATAGTGATAAATAATTGTTTGATTAAAAAAAATATATAAGGCGTATTCATATACGTAGGTTAGATACCATGCATGTGAAAGGATTATCTAGAAAACGAATTCAGCTTGATAGAAAATACCGCTGTTTTTCTTTTAGTTTTTCTTTTTGATTTGAGAAAAATAATAATCAGAAGCTTGACTCAACGTACTTCTTGAATTATAACTAGTTTGAGGACGTCTATATTGTTGTTCTTCCGTCGCTGTTTTTTCAAATTGATTGACATCTTGAAATAAATCTCGAAAATAAACTGAGCTATTCATTTTGAATGGTGTTGGCATATCTAATTTTCCCATTTTAGTTTGATTCTTCTTTGCTTGTGTCATCATTTTCTTTAACAATTGACGACGATGCGCTACTAATGATAGTGCATGTCTATGTTTCATTTGTAATAATGTACGTTCATCAAGATTTCCTTTAGATTCACGTTGATCAACAATATCAACACGATGTGGAACACGAGATAAACGCGGTAAACGTTCATGAAGTAGTTCACCAGCTCGACGAGCGTATAAAATAATTTCATCTCGAGCCTCAGACGGATTTTGAAGAAGATAATCAAGTCTATTCTCATAAAATGTTTCAATATCAGTTTCATTCGATTGAATTGATAATGATGAATTCGGATAAGTCGTGTAAGCTGGATGAAGGCTTCTAGAATTATTTTCAATAAACAACAAAATTATTCAAATGATTTTAGCTTGATGTTAACAAATCTATTTCTAGTATTTCTCAAATCAACAGCAAAATCTGTAGAAACTTAGGCTCTATCAAAATCTAAACATAAGATTTATTTAACGTACGCAGATTGTCCAGTTGAACGTACTATTGGATCATCAATAAATATTATTTTAATATCACGTGTTGGATCGCGTGCCAGAAAATTTTTCTCTAAATCCACAAACGTAAATGTTCGTGTCATTTTTCTTCTATGTTCTTGTCGAATTTTTTCATGATGATCATCAAGTTTTTTACGATATGTTTTTGAAAATTCTTCAAATTTATTTTCTCGTAATGCTTCGCGATAATCATTGTTAAATTTGATTCGATCATGATAATTCTCAATAAGCTTTGTTGACTTAAGAGCTTGTTCTAGTTGAACAAATTGATATGAACGAGATAAACATTTTTCCTGTGGAGCTGATGTAGTAGCTTGTGAAAAATCCGACCATGGTCGAATAGGTATTGATATATCGGGTGATGAATGGGATAATGGAGGCTCTAGTATTGATAGTCGTTTTTCTGGATTGTCTGAGTATGCTGATTCATTTGAATTGGCTTCATCTTCTGCATCGGCAGCTGAAAGAAGTTCAGCATCAGGTGATAATAATCGATATGAATGGGATTTTATCTTAATATAGATTTATATTCACTAAGATTTCAAGATTTCAAATGATTAAACTCACATCGTCATCACTGTTGGTTGGTGATTCTATTTTATTTTCTTTGTTACTATCCTGCGCATCAGTTGCCATTTATGCATATAGAATTGCCGTAAAATTCAAAAGAGAAGAAAAAAACGAAATTAGTAATTTTTTTTGCTCTTGTTTTATTCTTTGCAACATCAATGCATCAACAAATACATGGTTTCAGTAGAACATAATTAAAAAAAAACATCGATGCATACAATCTTTCCTTCTCTTTCAAACATTAGTTTGCAAGAGAAACATATGGCTAATACATGATTGGATGCAGTAATAGAGATTTTGATTCAGTATTCATAAAATTTCATTCTTAAAAACATGTTTTCAGAGCATTACTTGATTATTGAAAAAAAAATTCATTCAAGAACTTAGTCATGCATCGGATGCATACAGATTAACACAATTTTTCTCTTTTTTTATAAAATATTGAAATCTGTAGAATGCTCTTATAAATCTTATATGAAAATGACATGAGCGTTGATCTGCACATCACTATCATTGTATAAAAGCGTACATATGGCATGATGATTCTTCCTTTTATGGATTCAGCCAAACACATAAATCTTCATACTTCAAACGAACGGAACCACACCGGCAATCTCTAGTCACACTTTATTTGATTAAAGTTTTCAGTATATACCAATAGTTGAATTATAGAAATAGAAATCATAGGATCAATTGAAGACGAAAAAAAAGATTACTGTGGGAGACCAAGTAACTGTTGAAACATATCAAACTGTACACGACGCTGAATGTTTTGCGGTATAAGAATCTTACGAAGGTGTTCATGCTGATGTCCTGAGATAGTTATAATACCGCGCAACTCGAGCAACCAGCCAAATAAACTCTCGCAGTTTTCGTTTGATCGAATAAAGAAGAGTACACATTCAGCTTCAGTTTCTTGTTGTATAGCTTTCGTTTCGACGATGGGCAGTGATGATTCAGAGCCGAGAACAAATAGTTTACTGGCAGGAAGCCATGCTCGTGGATCGATATTCGGTGACAATATGTAATCACCGAGGAGAAAGCCATCCACTTGAGCTACTCGTACAAAACTAAAGTTAACATTGCCCATTATTTGTCCATTGGGAAAGATTTGTTCGAAAACTGATTTTGGCCACCAGTCTGGTGAAATGAAGTGATATGGTACAGATTGAAAAGAAGACACTTGTACTTCATTGAAAAGAAGTAATTCAATGCCTTTATTCAAAAAGCCAGTAACAAATAGTTGCCAAATTGAAAGAAAACGATCACTGGCCAGTGAAGTTTCAAAACAAACAAATCGTACGAGGTAGTTGGTTGGGATTCAATATTCGGCATGTTGCTTGGTTATGTTGAATAGTAGTACTCATGTTGTTGAATGTCTTGAAATAAAAATGTAGTTGAGATAAAAAAAAAGCTTCCATTTCTAAACATACATTTGAAATACTATCTCAAGCTCTCATTTAGAAGTAAGTTACAATTAACTCCTTTGTACAGAAACTATTACTATATCTCTTGTAAATCAGCTTAGACCTTGATACGATTAAGCGAAATATTTTTTTTCTGACACTCATTTCAGATAAACAATCTAATAGGTTCGTATTCTCAACTTTCTTTTATGAGCGTTATGTAACAGGAGACATGTTTTCGTTTTATCTGCATTTCATTCTAAAATAAATACACAGACGATGAATTTGAATTGTAGATCAGATGGTTAGCTAATGGGCGAAAAGACATTTTAACTTTCTGAAAATGCTTTTTTAAACAAGAAATTCTTCTTTTTGTCAATGACACATTTGTCACTTACATAATCCCAACAACACTAAGATGACGTTTTTTTTTGTATCCTATAGCGATGCGAATGTTATAGCTACTTATCCTTCTCACTCCATATTTTACAAAAACATGTTTTGTCAAGCAGAACCATCCTTCGAAGATGCTATAATAAGAAGGCAGATATCTGAAATCAACAATTTTTCTATGCTAATCATGTCATTTTCACTGATGTTAACCAAAATAAACTGTACAACCATTTGACTTTCATTTTCCAGTTTCACTTTTATGTGTAGAGGGAACACTTTCTGTTCTGTTTAGAAGTACATTCGTCTCCCCAGTGGAACACTCGAGAGTGGTTTCAGATCCTACGAGGTCATGCAGTTGTTTGATTGGCAACTTTAGGTTCTCGTGAAATTTACAAATAATTTACTTACTTCTAATCAAAGATTGCAAGAAGAGCTTGCCAGATGAATAATTTTATTTGTTTTCGTACCCTAGTCCTACCCTAGGGCAGGGTAGAGTACAAGGTAAGATGGAGCAACACGAGTCTACTCACGGGAAAATATTTCCAACCATCAAACTGTTTCAAACGTTTTCTATTGTATTAACTATGTTTTAAAAGGAAAGCATTTCTAATTATAACAATCACATATCTCGATGAAAAACTATTTTTCCAAGTGTAAACATTGCTTCATATTTAACAATTATACGACTAATCGATGATCAACACTGTAGTTCAAATTTCCATGAACTAAATTCTCACAGATTCTACACTTATAGATTGAAACAACAAAATAATCTTTTATTAGTTATTTTTACAGGTCGAATGATAAATGTCTCAAGCAAAAAACGATTTTAACATGAGAAACATTTCTTCATCCAATATACTATGACATAGCAAACTGTAGAGTTCTTTTTAAGATATATTAACAGAGTGCAATTTCATTTATTTTATGATATATAGAAAAGTGGGCATGCGAATCGATCTTTTGCAATCAATGCTCATAACAAGTTTTTCTTCAATCATAATTATTCAATGAAAGCATCTGTTCCATTTTCATACTATGCAAAAGAAAATATAATACTTGTCTATTAAATGCTTTCTTTTGTCGTTCAAACAGATGTTCCATCACATTAACAAAGTCTACTCATTTTTTCTTGGTTATTCAATGAAAATATTATAAGGACAGAATCATCGTAAATATTCATTCTACGGTAAAAATCGTTCATGTCTAACCTTCTATATCTAATTCTAGTACGTAAGCACACTTGTTTTAAGTTATTATTTTAAAACTATGAGTTGTACGGCATAGTTTTCTAGTGCTATGGGCATATTATCCGTTGATAAATTTGATCAGTTACCATGGTTTTTTGGTTTTATGCGACGACATTTTATTCCAGCAAGTATTTGTATCAATAGTACAACACAAGCAGGATATCTTGCTAAAATGAATATTCTTATCAATAGATTTCAAAAAAATTCAACGTATAATGCGGTATTAGAAATTGAATCACCAATTTTTGTCTCCTATGTTAAAGATCCTAGTAATCAAGCATTACTGTATAGTAATTGCATGGCATTTGTTGACGGGGTCAAAACAGCAAAATTAGCAGACAAAGCAGCCGCATTAGCAAGAAAAAAAATTGCTCGAGAAATTCATCTACGATTTCGACACGTTTCAACTGATTTAACAGCTAATGAAGGACCTAATGAATTGGATAGTAATGAAAAACTTGGGCATCATTGACTTGTCTGTTAATTCTGAAAATTTGAATGGAAATAAATAAAATCAAACTGAAAAAGACTTTTTCTCCGATAAATATCTATACATATGAATATTTACATAAATCATAAAGGTAATTTATTGATGTTTACACAGAAATACCAAGAATACCACGATTGATATAGTAATATTGATTTATGCCACCACTAATCTGGCTCCAAGTATTCAAATCAAAGCTTCCAGAACCCGCTCGGCTACCGACAATTTTGCACACGATGACAGCTTGCCGATTTCGATACCAATCAAGAGGAGAACCATTGACACAAGTTTCTGGCTTGGAAGCAAGTCCATTTTGACTCAAGAAAAAAGCTGTACCCGATCCGAAGACTCGACCTGTGCCGCCAGACTCGATGCAGACAGCTGTTGATTCATCAACACCAATACCACGACCTACTACTCCGTAATCTTGATTCATACGTGCTAAAAATGTAATAAGACGACCACGTCGATCAGGATTATTAAAATGAGTGTCAGTAATAACATTTGACAAATAAGGTTGAGAAAGAAAATCATTGTGGCCTAAAGTAAGATAACTTATGTAAGGATTGCCGAGAGCCTCACTCGATGTCACTGTGCCGTAAAGTGCTGAAAAATAAGTTCCACCAAGAATAGCACACCCGGCTGATGTACCTCCGATAGGAATTTGTTTTACATTTCTTAGATAATTAAGAGCAGCTTCCACTTTAGTATCTTTCCAATAGTTAACATAATTAGCTTGATCACCACCAGCAATAAATATTGCTTCAGCTCCTCGAATTGCTGCTTCAACTAGAAGATCGTTGGCTAACGTACGCGAATTAATAAGTAGAGTTTCAACTGAATTGACAGAGCCTAAACCGTATATATAACTATTGTATGCATTCGTACCGGTAGCTCTCAACACCACGAAATCACCACCACCCGACTTAGTAATCATCCATTGCATCGCTTCATCCACATCAGGTCCACCTCCAACGAGCACAGTACCTCCCGATGTTGGTCGTATAACATCGGCAGTGTCACCAACAAGACCTAACGAAGCAGGGTTTACTGTTTCACACACACCCGATAGTGCACTAAGGAATACTCCATAAAAAATACACTTGACGGTATCCATAAAGAAACAACTTTAGAAATGAAATAAAGTGGAAAAAAACACAAGATATAATTAAAAATAGAGATTAGGAAAAAAGCAAGTGATTGGCCATATATCTGATCATATTTTTATTGACTTGAGCATCAATGAAATTGAAGAACTGATATTTTGTATTTATATTTGGTAACAAAACCGAAGGATTACAAAAAAATAAGATAAAATGAAGATAAAAATATATTATTCATGATACTTTTTCTAATGCACACTTTCAATTATCTGTCTCCTACTGCGCACCACACTCTTTCCGAGAATGTATTGATTTGTTGACCATGATAAAATGGTACCATATAGAAGTATGAAATTTATTGTTTCCGCTGTCATCTTGGCAATTATACACTTTCTTTAACAAAGTTTGTTGCGCTTACAAAAGCGTGTGATTTGTATAGATATGACTTTTTTTAATTTGACATAATCTAAATCTATTTTATTCACTTTATTCAATGTAACTGTATTAAAATAATCATTGCTATATATTTTCAAGCATATATATATAAACGGCTATCTACATAAAAAAGCACCAGTCTGAAATCACTATTATTCTGTAGGACTTTTAATTTTCCTTAGGATTTCATACGAGTCGGCACTTCTTAAAATGTCACTATTGTTTATATGACTTATAATAATAATGACAAAAATCTGATATTTTTGAAAGACAAAATTATTAAATGCAATTGTTCCGAGATAAAAATTCAATGAATGAAAATTTTCTTCAGGTGCACCAAGGTCAAAACTCGAGCAGGAGAAAACTTCTTTTTATTATTATATGGTTGGATAGAGTTTGGTGAATAGATCATGAATATCATCTTTAAAATATTTCTAGGCTACCGTTTTGGTTGAGAAATTTTCAAAATACAAACTGCACCTGAAAAAGCGAATATTTCACTTTTTTCGAGAAAACTCGAAATTTACCTAGTTTAGCAATAGTCTAGGTGTATAAAACTATCATCATCGAATTCAGCATGAAAATTTGAATTTACTGATGTAAATTTGACCAGTAAAAGCATAAGTTTCATGTTTGAGGAGCTTAACTAGATCTCCATGTAATCACGTTGAAATTGATGTCTCGCAGAAACCACCAACTATTTGCTTTTCAAAGCGATGTTCGAACTTTCTTACATCATTCGAATCGCCAAGTGATTGCGAACAAAATTATATATTCAATTTGAAAAATATGGCTTCCTCTATGAGAAAATCGATTTTTACTGGATCGGTGACTAAAGTTTACAAAATTACCTTCTTATTTCGAAGTTTTGACTAACAAAAGTCAACTTCCGTGCAAAATAAACATCAGATTCAGAATCAACACAAAGAACAACACTGACTATCATAAATTTTATCAAAAAATAATTTTCATCTGAATTCCAGCCAACTACCCCTCGATCATTTTTTTCTTGATTTTACTCTGTAGGCCCCCACTGGTAAAATTCTGATGAAAATTATTTTTTAATAAAATTTATGATAATCAATGTTGTTCTTTGTGTTGATTCTAAATCTGATGTTTATTTTGCATGGAAGTGGAGTTTTGATAGCCAAAACTTCGAAATAAGAAGGTAATTTTGTAAACTTTAGTCACCGATCCAGTAAAATCGATTTTCTCAGAGAGGAAGCCATATTTTTCAAACTGAATATATAATTTTGTTCGCTATCACTTGACGGTTCGAATGATGTAAGAAAGTTCGAGAATCGCTTTGAAAAGCAAATAGTTGGTGGTTTCTGCGAGACATCAATTTCAACGTGATTACATGGAGATCTAGTTAAGCTCCTCAAACATGAAACTTATACTTTTTACTGGTCAAATTTACATCAGTAGATTCAGATTTTTATGCTGAATTCGATGATGATAGTTTTATACACCTAGACTATTGCTAAACTAGGTAAATTTCGAGTTTTCTCGAAAAAAGTGAAATATTCGCTTTTTCAGGTGCAGTTTGTATTTTGAAAATTTCTCAACCAAAACGGTAGCCTAGAAATATTTTAAAGATGATATTCATGATCTATTCACCAAACTCTATCCAACCATATAATAATAAAAAGAAGTTTTCTCCTGCTCGAGTTTTGACCTTGGTGCACCTTACTTCTACAATTTTTATTGATTTGGGTATTTGCTAAACCAATCGATATCACGTGATTCTTTAAAAAAAAACTTTATTTGTTTTTCTATAGAGTTATTTCAAATGAAAAAACAACGTGAATTTTAGATTTTTTTTGTTAAAAATCATTCTTCTAAAGATCTTACGGACTACCTATTGAAGTAGTAAAATCTTAGATTTTTCAAATAAATTTATCATCATTTTAATGAAATTCTATTGTCAGTCATCATGTAATGAGATAAAAAAAAGTCTAAAATGTTTTTGTTTCTTCTATCGAACTCTTTTCTATCAATGGTGAGTTTTTTTATTTAAATTCGTAAATAACAAGAATAAAAATTAAATAAAATTCAATGTTCAAATTGATTTCAATCGAAAGGATGAGCAGATTCATCATACTCATCATTAATAATTATTGTTGGATGTTGTCCGATGTTTTGTGAATGACGATTATGAATATTGTGATGATTATTACGACGAGAATTCGTTGTGTTAGGATGATGATAACGATAGAACTCCTCATCGAAAAATTGACTTTCCTCGTCATCTAAACCCGAATAATGTTCTTCATCTGGTTCTTCATAACCATCATCAAAAGCATTTTGACCTGGCCGTTTTATTTGCGCACTTGCAGGTGGTGATGGAGCTGATGGACGTTTTATAGGCGATATAATACGATCACCCGGTGATGTATATGTTGCTGCTCGATTTGCTGTATTATTAGTACATTGTGGCAAATCTTCATCGAGATCCATAACATTTGACATTGTCGGCAAGACGTGGCGTCGGTTAAGTGCTGGTAAATGTCCTCGTTGTGTTGGCGCAAAATGATTAAAAATTTGTTTTTTCGATTCCGTTTGTTTAGGCGCAGTTAGAATTGTTTCTGTACGATAAAATGTATTATTTATCAACGTACTACTACTAGGTACACTAATATCAGGTAACGGTGGATATTTTTTTACAGGTACATCAATAGCCTCAGGATCAGAATTATTTGGAATAATATATGATTGTTCACGAACAATTTCACGAAAATCATCAATCGTTGAACGAATTATCGGTACAGTAGCTGTCGTTGTTGTATTTGGAAGATTGTGTGGAGATATCGTACCATTTGTTATTGTCAAACGTGGAGTGCCATTAGTACTATTAGGCATAGTCATATTGATATATCTAAAAAGTAATAGACATCAAATATATTGCATTCACTAAAGAAACAATATCTATTCAGTTAAGATATCTGCAAACGGTAAAATAGTGCGAAATTAAAACACAATATGTTATAAAATATTTGCGTATAAAAATGAATACCAGTTCAATTACGCATTCTATTGAAATTGTATTATTCATTCAATCACATTTAATAAGTCTTGTAAAAAACAAACAAAAGAATTGTGCGTTGTTTTACACTTTAAAAAAATTAAAGACAGGAGATTCGTTTTATGTTTCTAAGTCAACACTAAAGAAGAAACACTTTATTATAATTATTTATTCTTTATAAATCACATCTATCATTATTATTATTCTCTTCTATCTACTTAATTTGTGTTTATTTTAATAGTAATATGTAACCTAGTGATTAATTATGATAATGAAATAATTACTATCGAGGATCTATCATTTACCTTGAAATTATAATTCCAAATTTTTTCCGTGTAAAAAATATTTCTTGAGTAAATAAAGTATGTTTGTGTGCACACACATTCAACCGACTATCGACTACAAAACAAAAGAAAAAAAGATGTTGATAATGTTGTGAATTCAAACCTTTCTTTTTTTTTCTTCTTTTCTTTCTTTGCCGATTTTGTTTTTACATGTTGTTCTTTCAACTCAATTACAACAAAAAAAAAGGGGATAAGAGAATGAATAAAAAACTGGGGTTACTAAAACAACAAACTAAAACATAAGCAAAAGATACAAACAATACAATGAACAGAAAATCCGTTCATATGGTTTCTTTTTCAAATCGCATAAAAATTCACCGATAAAAGAATTCGCTCTGATCTTTTTTGTCTTTATTTTAATCAAAAATTTAAGTTATAAATTTTTTTTGAAGTAAAAGAAACTAAAACACGCATAAGTACAGTAAAATATCGATTATTATAATATAATCAAATTTACCAGTGACCTGAAGTTATATAGATTCATGTAAATATAAAGCAGTGAGTAAAACTATGCCATGAAATAAATTCTAGATTAAATATTTAACTTTCATTGTTTCCGAATAAAACAACAATGAACGATAGTTTTCTTTCATAGAGTATAGAACAAAGCACGAGTGTTGAGATTGTTGTTATTTAACTAGGTAAATTCATAGGATCGGATTGCTTTCAACGCTATTGTAAAATTCTACTGCAATCGATCTAATGATCATCATACATGTGTAGAAAAATAAATGCATCTTTTAACAATTTCTTTGAACGGTTTGTCGAAATAAATTGAGAAAAACGAGCTGTATTGATCGCTGGCATAGTCCCACATTGGCAGATCTCTTTGGTAGTATTTAGCAATGAGTGTTAAATTGAGGTTCACGTTAGTAGTAATATGATCGATGCAGAACAAATCATTGCAACTCGACTAACTAAAATAATGGAAAAAAAAGTAAGAGGAAGATTGATGAATGCAGTCTCTGAATCACAGTGAATATGAAAATGTGGAATTGAGATCAACTTGATGAAATCAACCAGTGACCTGAATATAAAAACGTTCATATGAAAAAAAATTAGGTTTTAGTAAACTAGACAACTTTTAAGAATCTTGATAATAAATTCAAGTGATGACGAGAGTTCGATGAAAACTGATCGATCAATTTCTTATGCGAACACGTTTATTATTATAAGCAAAAAACTGTGATTGAGACTGTACTTATCTTCAGTGTATCAAACAATATGCATACAATCGTTGATTTGTTCAAAATTTGCTGAATGAAAGTGCCAATAATTTCTTTGACAAATTGAGAATGAGAACACTGTATCGCTAGAGTTCGTTCTTTCTCAAAAGACGCATGCATTATACTCATAACTTTCCACGTATCACACTAAGATATTCTTCATATTATTGAATGGCTTCTCTGTATAGTATATAGCTATTTCGCCATTTATTGTTGTTGCTAAATAAATCTTTGAAAGCAAATATGGCTATCTTAGTTTAAAATTCCACAACTGATTGTCGCTTTCATCACAGTTAGCATGCTATTAAAAGTATCATGAAATATTTAATATTGAATTATCAACATTCGACATTTGCTTTGAATTGAGCACGATGTTTGTCTAAGAAATAATCTTGAATAAAAGCTTCTATGATATCCGTGGCAAAGATTGCATTTAATTGTATTTGTTAAAGAACTATGTGTCAACAGTCCAACAGTCAATATAGACACTTGATGAAGATATATATATATATATATGAAGTTGTTCGATGAGAAAATTCATCACATTCATATTCTGTGTTGTTGTCATAGGTAGCCCTTTTCACCAGATGGATCTTGACGAGAAGCTTCCCCCATTAAAATTTTCTATTTCAAATACTCCTATCCATGGAATTGTATTCCTGTCGGTGATATTAACTAACCCAAAAGATGTAATGCATTTAATGTCATATGATCACGACAACTATTGTCGACCACTACAGTCAGCCCGATTACTTCAATTTGAGCATCTAATAAGATTAAGATAGAAATGAATGAATGATGCTGAATGAAACCAATATTAACTTTACCAGACTTGCTCGAATCGATGATTAAAATGATTAAAACTATAATAACACACCATCACACACATTTCAATGATCTATTGTATCCAATACTGACATACAGATAAATATTTTTAAAAAAGTAGAAGAATATTAAATTTTCAAAAATGAATAGACGTTGTAGACGAATATAATCAGAATTGAATATTCTTTTCTTTTTTTTTGTTTTTATACTTTTCCATCTGTGCATCATTACATCTTCTTTGTTTGATTCGTTACACTGATCCTTTCTTATGCCACGATATCTGGGTGTATGAATACAGTTTGTAAGAAGAGCATATATTTTTAATAAGTTTCTGGCATCATCGATCTAGTCAATTGAGTGTTACGGAGACATAGCAGACGTTGCTTTTCTTAGAGTGATCATTTCGACTGGTAAAAATACTGATATAAACGAAATAGTTATTGTTATTTTAACAACAAGTAGACTTAAAATAGCACGGCAGATAGAAAAGTAGCTTTGTTTAAACGTTATATGTTTCAAATAAATCAACGTTAAATTATACAACCTATTCTATTTCATATATTTTAAAAATTACTCAGGAATGCCAAGAAAATAAAAGTTATCCTTTTATTTTATGTAATCGAATAGTTTATCTTTTGTTGTAGGGTTAACGTTTTTTTGAATAATATGCAATCAACGGTGAATCTGTTTTATATTTTTTCTTTAAAAATTGTCAATCAATCTGATAATCTAGAAAATCTACTATTTGATTCAGGAAAATCCATTCCCGTCACAAATGCTGTAAATAAACCAAATAGAATACAAGGGACTAAATATTCACAATTCCAAATCAATTTCAAAGATACACCATCATCAAATGGCAGTATACTGATAATAATACCTATGACGACAAATACAATTGATGTCCATTGATAGATTTTTAATTTATAATAAATTGGTGTTTGAACTTCGCCTTGATAGGCTTCTTCAACAAATCGACTAAGGCCAATTAAAATAAAATACAGACTAAGTATCAAAGTTAATGCAACATTGGAATACCAAAGTCTCCATAAAAACATTCCAATGACAAGATTTGCCAACATGGAGTAACCTGCTGTTACATGAACATAAATATCTTTCAAATCTGATAGTGAACACACTCGTGATCGAGGATTGGTAACTAATATTCCGATAAATTTATTTGTTGGTCTACCATGACAACATCCTTGTATGACACAACGAAAACGACCTAGACCTTGTATCCAAGGACTTGCTAAAGCATATGCCGATAGAATTGAAATCAACGGAATAGAAAAAAGCCATGAAGCTAGTATTGAGCCGATAGCACCACCCATAATACAACCAAAATAACCAAATGGTCTAGATAATCCAGAAGATTTTTCAATATATTGTCCCCATATTCCTGCGCCAATTAAAGACGATGTGCTAACGAGTACTATAGTATAAGTATGTGCGACAAGAGAACAGAGTAGAAAAGTGCCAGTAAATGTAGTTATAAATGCATAAAAACTGTGACTAATAACACGTATTTTACCAATTCTAAAGCATGACCATGAATTTGCTAAAATTTCGAAATAATTTCTTATATAAATCCATAATGTTTCTCGTTTAATACAAATTATAAATAATATAAAACCTGCTATAACATCCAGTATACTATGCATTCCTGTAGTAACACAACTTGCAGATATAAGAATTGATATAATGTAAAATATGAAATTATATTTCGGAAAACTCCATGTATAATAATAACCGGACAAAAATGCCCACGATACATGAAATGAAGGCAAGGCACCAACTGGCCCGTCTAGATCACGTTCATGTAATAATATTTCTCCTATAATTGTTGTCGGACTAAACTCTCTAGGTACAGCTACAAATGGAAATATGACTTGTAGATAAATGCCAATAGAAATATTCATCAAACCAGCAAAAATAAAAGAACGAATTTGTTGTTTTGTTTGTAAAACACAAGGCAAAAATATGACATATGGATAAGCAGAAAGATAAAATAATTCTGTCCATTCTATAATTGGTAGATTATTTTCAAATGTTAAATAAGTTGATATTGAATTCACAGGCGTTCCAATAAATATAATAGTTTGATACAAGATTAACCATGGAATTAAAACAAAACAATAAACTGACACAATATCTTTCAATTGACGTTTCATCTTTACATTTTCCGGTATGTTTAATAATGGATTCCAAGTACATTCAGGAAATCGTTTTTTTAAATCCTCATTTTCATAGCCATGAACAAGTGCAAGCCATGCTAATGTAAAAATAGGAGAAATTAACCAAAATCCACTTTTTGATTGAAAACACATTGATATACCAATACTTAATAATGACGATCCAATATAAATCGGATGCGTAAATATTCTATATACACCTGTTGTGACTAATTTCGGTGGTGGATATGCATTCATTGGAAGTCCATTGCCTTTTATCCATAGTTCTAGCATAGCAGAAATCATCAAAACTACTCCGAATAAACTTAATAAAATATCTACGATGGAATTTGTTGGCATCGGAAGATGAATATATTTTTCTGTTTGTTTTGACCAAAACATTAATACTAAAGGAATCAAAATAGTAAATAGAGAACCATAAAGTATTTTTCCAATAAAACTCATCGTCGGTTTACACTCAACATTTTCATGTATAGACCAACCGATGGCAATTGAACGATCATTTTCATAAAGTTCACTCCATGTCTGCCATTTACATTCTTTCATATTGAGAACTCCCGATGGAAAAGTATTTTTGATCCAAGAAAATTTATCAAATACAGTCTTGATCAAAGGTCCATTACGTAAAGTATATTTTTCAGATAACATCAAACGATAACGCCCAAATTCAATGATATCATCATTGATAATTCCATCGACAGATTTGGTTCCATTATGAAAAATTAAACATCGCTTTTGTTCACCGTCCCAACGTATCCAAACAATATGTTGATTTTCAGATAGAAATCTTCCCCATCGTAAAATACTGATTGGTAATTGCCATGGTTTCAAAGTTAACGTTAATCGTTCGACATATCCCAACCCTTTACGTATCGTTTCATCAATTTTTATTTGTCCTGATGCGCTTGGCATAAAACATTCCCATAGAATATATCCATCATTACTTTCAAACAATTTTTCAATAATAGACTCACTTTTCGATTCCCATTGACCAGATAATTGCAAGGAATTAATGTGAAAAGATTTATTTTCCAATACTGGCAAACTATAATTTGAAAATGTTGCTTGCGATATTAAATGACTTTTTTGAAGAAATTGCAAAATATTTGTAAAGCTAAGTTTTAAAAAATTCCATTCAAGCTCTCCTAGATAAACAATGGTTACATCACTAGTTTTCTCATCAACTATATCTGCGTACCATTTGTAGAGATAAAAATTTTTTCGTGTGACCATATTATCTAAAATCTGAAAATAAAATTATTGTTTTATTGATAATCTGTGGATTTTCTTTGACACGGTAAATTCCAGCTTCGCCGAATCTTTTTTTGCCGATGATTATTTTCGCCGACTCCAACTTTGCCGAATAAAAATCTTGACCGAAAAATATCGAATCAAATTTGATCCATTCTAGATATAGAATTTTATCCTAACTAACTACTTTAATAGTGACTTGATTAATTAACCCCATCTGACTTGGTANAACCCCATCTGAGTTGGTAACCATCTGAGTTGGTAACCAACTGAGTTGGTAGCCAACTCACTTGGTAACCAACTCAATTATATCTGTTGCCTTATTTAATCAGGTGCCAACAGGTGTAGATGTGAGTGTGGGTGTGGGTGTATGCGTGAGTGTGTGCGTGGGTATGTGCGTGGGTTATCAACTCAGATGGCTACCAAGTCAGCTGCCTAGGGTGTGGGTGTGTGCGTGGGTTATCAACACAGATGATTACCAAGTCAGTTGGTTACCAACTCAGATGGTTACCAACTCAGATGGGGTTAATTAATCAAGTCACTATTAAACTAATTAGTTAGGATAAAATTCTATATCTAGAATGGATAAAATTTGATTCGATATTTTTCGGTCAAGATTTTTATTCGGCGAAGTTGGAGTCGGCGAAAATAAAGTTCGGCGAAGCTGTACTAATTCCTTTGACACAATACGATCAAGCATACAATTGATACATCTATATTCTTCGTACAACTAGAGGTGTCAGCCGAGCGGCTGAGTCGCCGCAGCAGCCGAGTTTTCTATAATATCAGCCGCCGCCGCCACCAAATTGCTGGTAACTTTAAGAATTTTTGGGGAGCCGCCGCTGCGAAAAAACAATTTTCGTCGTTGCGCCGCTGCAAGAGATAAAAATTTTTGATAGCGTCATCCACCGCCGTTAACATCAATACATATGCGATCGAATCGAACATTTTTCTTTTAATTTTCATCAGCGAATTTTTTACTCAGCCGCCGCCGTCTCATAAGGACTTGCAAATATCAACCGGTGCCGCCGCTGTGGAAAACAATTTAAGAATTTGTAGCAGCCGCCCCTGAAGACATTACTCATTCAAATAATAAGCCGCTGGAAATCTTTAAAAATTGAAAATTGTTGCCCACCGCCGCCGTTCACCCCTTCGGCTGACACCTCTACGTACAACTACAAGTCTGTGTTTTTCTTTTTTGTACGAAACAGAGCTCCGAATGGGATGGGATGGAAAGAAAAAGTCGTTCCATGGGACAATCCACTTTGTCTTATCCCACTTCATGGAATAATTTATATAATAAAAAGATTCTCTCAAAACTCAGGACCAACTTATATTATTCTTTTCTTAATTCAATCATCTCAGTTTGCTCTATGTGAATGTTTGGACCAGTTATTTGATATTGAAATTTTTCTACAAATTATTGATTTCGTTAAGAATGAAATTGCAAAACTTGAATTTTCTGAATTCCGTCAGAACTTAAATTGTATTTTTTTTTGTTCGTACACGATTTCACTTTCATGTCTCTCGGGATTCTTTAGATCTTTGTGAACTCAGATAAAGTCAATAACACTTGAAGCTGTGCATAATTCACCAGAATCTCCCCTGTACATATTCAGTAGTTTCAAACTTGAAACTTGAATTCAGTTGAAAATAGCAACACTGTTAGCGCAAGTCCCTATGGGATTAAGATGTGAAACACGATGAAACTCCTTTTCTGGAATCCGTCTATCACGGTCAGTGATGGTCTGTGAAGCGTCTCTGTTACGGCCTATATTATGATGTATGGAGTCTCTAGAAACCATCACAGACCGTTACAGAGAAATTAATTAATTAACCAATTAGCCGATTAATTAATTTCTCCGTAACGGTCTGTGGGGCGAGGGGGATGGGTCCAAATTTCTAACCTATATACTTCAACACTCCTTTCCGATCGTGTTTCACAAAATTGAAATTTTCAACTTTAAATTCATAGCGATATATGTGTGAGTCACGATTCTTCAGAATGCTATTGGTTTATATATTGAAAATTTCAATTTTCAATTGAATTCAAGTTTCAAGTTTGACATATATGTACATATTACTTCTTTTAAATAAAATCTTAGAAAAAACTATTCGCTTTACGTTTAATTATTTGAACTTCTGGAAAAGACGAAAGTTTTCTATGAAAAATAGGAGAAAAGAAAGTCACCAAGAAGATTTTGTTTTGAAGAAATAGTATTTGCAATCAGTGTAACTATGCTAAATTCTATTATACAGTACCAGCATAAAATACTTTCTGAAGTCATATTTCAAAGAAAATAACTTGAAATTTTCAATGATAAAACAAGAAAAAAATCCCATGAAATTAGAATAGGATGGAATGAAATTCTATCACATTCACAGCCCTGAAATCAACGGTTCTTGACAATGTTATTGCAATTACTGTCACTAGACATTAAGTAATTATCTGTTTTCAGTCGAATGAGTCATATAGACTCTAATTATATAAATATAAATGGATAAAAAGCAGAAAAAAGATCAAAATACCTAGGTAACTAATTTAATGTTCTCTTGTGACAATTATACAGCCAATAACTGATTATTCGACAGCAACACGAAAGAGTGCTTCGCATATGTATGTGCAATCTATAAAAAGCATCAATGAATCATATGACAAAATATTTACATGAAAACATTCACAACAGTTTTATATTCTGACAAAAACGCCATCGTCAACGACGTAATTGCTTTTTGAAATATAATGCAGCACGAAGCTATTTGTCATAACCTCCGAAAAAATATAAATGATTGAATCATAATCTATTCGTCATCGAAGAGAAAAGTAGAAAAAGAATGTAGATTAATGTTTGTATGGTTTGCATCTAACGAGAAAAATATTTGCACAAAGTTTAATAAGTGAAAAGAAAGAAAAACTTTCACCACCAAAAGTTCTTTTTAATTATTTTGCTATTAACTTGTAAACACATACAAATAGCAATCGGTTTCAAAGAGAAACGACGTAATAACTGGAGGTAAAGCAATCAATAGAAATAAGTGATTCGTTTTATTTTTAATGATTTCTGTACAAATATTTGTAATGGGATCTGACAACACGTTCTTTAGAACGACAAGATACTTTCGAGAAAGCGTCATTAAAGTTGTTTAGACTTGACCATTTTCTTTTTGACTAGAAAATTAAACTTCTTCATTTAGCTGACGATTTATTTCGATATTTATTTGGTTCAAACCAATTCTGAGTCTTTAAAAACTGCTTCGAGAGCATACATAGCAAATTTATGTATCATCGCTTGTCGAATTAGTCATTATTTGCAGTTCACAATAAATTCTCATCAAGCGTGAAAATTAAATTTTATTTCAACGTAAATCATTTGCAATCATACTTTTTTTGTCATTGTGAAATAAATTTGAAATCTATTGATATCCTGAAGCGACATTCAATATGTCGCTTCTTATAAATAAGGGCAAGGGTCTTTTACTTTTGATTATTTATTATAATTGAATGTGTGAAAAGTGGTCAAACAAAAAGTCAAACTGAATCTTGCTCGTCATTAGTATATACTCTCACACACATTGCACTTATACTATTAGTAACTAATTGACTATACTTTTTGTTTACATTTATTGCATGAAAAAGATTGTGCGACATTTCTTCTTCTTCACTGATATCAACATGAAGTGCAACATACGAAAAAGTGTCAACACAAAATTATAGCCTTCATTATCTATATGATAACTGAAAATAAAATATATATAAATATACATCATTCTTCTCTGTACCATCTATCTGAAATTATTTGTTAATTTTTACTTGTTTCGTTTTTTTCCGACTTACAGTGGTGAGGAAACACGCGAAACTAGAAGAAAGGGGCTGAAGTGTAATCCAATGAGAAGAAAGATAATTCCAAAATGATCATTTCCAGCTCACGACATTTTTTCATCGGACACTTTCTCAATAAATTTGTTTTATTGATTGTGGTATTCTTCACAGCTACATTGATGTGTTTTTATTTGATAAAATAAATGAAATATATAGAACATAGCCCAAAAATATTTGTCCGTGCCTGTAGAAATAATCTGAAACTTTAAAGTAAACACGTTGCAAACGAATGAAGGACTTTTTTCTGAAGCAGGACAAAAATAAATATACTACTGTTAATGGTAAACAAACAGCAGAAGGCTAAGAGCTTTTTAAAAAAATGTTCATACTTATTTTTCATGATAATGTGATAATTATAATTTTATTATAATTGTTTCTATTTTACTAACGAGAAAGAGAGCAAAGTGATGGCATGAATAGATTCTATCAAATTAGAAAGATTTATTAATAAACAATTGAATATTGTGAAGCCTTCTAAGTCAACAAATGAAGAACTTGAGGGTATTATTTTGTGTGCAAACAAATGGATCACATTTTACAGGAATCTTCTTTTATTTCTATCATTGTTAATTGAACTTATTTTATTGAGAAATTCTAAATGATTTTTATTCTTTTAAATGTTCATAAATAGCGTTGACGTGATTCTTCTAAAGAGATTTTCAACTCGAATCACTGGTAACTACGCACATCTTCAAGTTTTAATACAAATCAAATTTTAATTCCTAAATAAGATTTGATTTTTTTGACATATATAACTTTTAGATTGAAAATAGTTCGAGATTTTTTTTAAAGTTAAAAATTGATTCATTGCTATGGTATGCAGTCAAAACAGTAGAATTGAACAGTTGATTACGTATGTGATTTGTCACGAATCTTTTGATGCCTCACGTATTGTACCTTGTTCGCATGCTTACTGCTATAAATTTATTCACAAAATAGCTTCATTGAATAATGATGAATTTAAAATATTAAAATAAAAACACTTTAGTTCATTACCTCGCAATAGGTCGATATGAGATCTAGTTGAATCATACGGCACGTAAATTTTTTCATTGTTTAAAAAAAGTTAATCGTATTGTCACCCTTCAAAATATTAAAATTGAGACATAATTAGGATGGTAGCAACAATTTTAATTAGTTTAAATTACATATATACCTCATCCTTGATTTCGACTCTTTTATTCGGTCAATAACGCCTACTTTTTTAAACTGTAGAAGATTCAGTTTCTTATCCAGATATATGATTCCACGTTTTGTTTCTTAATTCAATGTTCAAAATTATTTATCGATTGTGAATTGACTCTCGTTGAATATACATGTGACAAATGTAAAAATTTTTTAAAATTCTAGGAATGCTATCCGAAGTAACATAAATCTCGTCTCATGCAAACACATCAGAAAGTATCCACCGATAAAACATTACCAGAAACAATGACATGCGAACAGCATTCAAAAAACAAACAACTGAACTATTGGTGTTGTGAAAAACTCATTTGTATTGATTATCTTCTAGTTGATCATACATCTATTTCAAAAGATAATACGCTCAAAGTATTAGAAACGCAGGTTAGTGTTAATACTATCTATACTAGAAGGATATATTAAGAGAGTTTATTTTGTTACTAACTTTAGCATTCAATTACAAGATATGCAATCGTTTTTAGATGAATGAATCAACCGAGCACAATAGTTAATAGATGAAAATACTAATGATTTTCAATCTACTAAATTAAGCATTAAGGAAGCTATGACATTATTACATGAGATTATAAAGACATATAATAGAAAAATGTCAGAAAAAAATCTCGGTTGTTAAAGAAAAATTGAAGGCACAATTTTCAGATTATATCAATCCACTTAAAATGAGTTACAAAGTTTCATCCTAAAAGAAAGAAATTTGGATGTTCTGTAATAATCCGACAAAATGAACACAAATAAATAGAGACTTTAATAATTATATAAACGAATCAATAAAATCATTACGATTGATGATTATTTAGAAGGGCTTGCTCAGTTTCAAGTTCTAAAAGAAAAAAATTGAACTATGTGAAAGATTTGTTGCAATCCTACTACTTTATCATAATCTAGAACTTAAACAGTTCATTTTTCAAAATCGAACGTGTCAAAGATTAGATTTAAATGATAGAAACTGATCGATCCCAGATACGAAGATATTGACGAATGCCTTAAAAGAAAGTAAGGTAATAATAGATGGTCTTGTTGACTTGTAAACGTAAATATATATCTATTTCATGATTGAAATTGAATTTAAAGCAATAAATTTAAACATAAAGATTATTTCCTCGCATATTTTTTTCATGCGCTTGTTTGTTGGTCGAGTACAGACGCTTAGAATGCTAAATATGCGAGGAAATCAAATTGAATCACATGGAACTGAATACATCGCTGACATTCTTAAAGTAAACAAAGTAGCTGATTTCTCATTTCGTCAAAGATTTCTCTGATCATTGTACACAGATATTTGCCGAACTATATCTTAAGGGAAACCAAATTGAAAAACAAGGCGCTCAGCATATTGCTAGTGCTGTAAAAACGAATCAAGTAAACATTCTGTTTGTCTTATCGTTGTTATATCTGAATGCAGTGTTCGTTTTCCACATGTTCTTACTATATTCCACCGAAAAATAAACCAGATCGAAGAACAGGGTACTCAATATATTGTTGATACTCTCAGAACTAATCAAGTAAATAGTCAATTTTTTTCCACTACTGATTATCACACACTTCTTCAATTAAATTTATACAGACGCTTATTATGCTTGACCTCGAACAGAATCAAATAGAATAAATATAAATTCAATGCATCCAACTATCATTGACATGTAGATGCATTTTTTAAGTTTTTTTTAGTAAAAAGTAAATTTTAGCCTTCGTCTCGTGAAGGTTTCGATGAGCAAACGGTATTGGAAGTCTTCGTTGAGAAAAATAAGCGATAAATATGTCAAGAAAATAGAAGACTTGAATTCGAATGTGAGTCAGATATTTTTAAGATTATTGAAAAGAACATATCTTTATGTAGTATACTTCACTTTTTGAATTATTTTATTTTTTTTTATGCTCAATATGAATAATGTCTTGTGCATGCGCATAATATTCTGATACGTCGTATTCAGTAGGAATAAGAAATTTTCTTATGTAAAATTGAAATTTCCAGCCATTATTATGTATTATTTGTAAGCACTCTAGATTCATCATTGAATAGTTTCTACTTGAGTATTCTTCTTGGAAAAATATCATAAATTTATCAAATTTATCTTTTTTATATCTCATTTGTTATCATTTTATCTTAAAATAAATGTAAACTATAAATGATAACATGTAATAAATCGCTTCAGCCATCATTCGTTACATCAATTCTTCTTTTGTAAAGTATTTGCCATGCATTCAAACTCTTCATTATTAATAAATCGCCCTGAATCATAAACTGATTCGAATGAAAGAAATGTATATTTGAGTCGTAGGGGTCTCTGTATGCTTAACAAACATACGTGATATTTTTGTTTTCCGGTTTACTTCATGTTATTAATCATTGATCTCGCACGTTTTAATGATACTAAAAATCCACATCACGGTTTAACAAACAAAGTTATATTAGGATATTGGTTTTGATAATCTTAAATTTTGCTCAAACAGATTAATATATGTCGCTTGAGTTTTGATGAAGTATATTACATTTGTTTTTGTTGATATCAGCTTCCATTGCTAATGCAGTCACGAGGTTTTGACGGAGAAAATAAAAACAATTTTAGTTTAGCTTCGAATAGTATAAAAACAAAATTGTTTCCTATAGAATATATCAGAGTGAAGAATATTTCAATATTCCAATTCGAGCAGAAATATTATAGTGTGTCTCTTATTGAGAAATACTCAGCTATGAAGCTTTTTTACAAATAATAAAATTAGTTGAATAAACTCTAAAACCACAACAGTTCAAGTTTATTGATGACAATTTATTTCGTATCGAATTTTACAACAATCAAAGTCTGTTGATTTTGTACTACCATCAAGAAAATTACATTTAAATTAATGTCAATATCTGCGAAAATAACAAATCGGCCTGAATCAATATTAGTTTTTAAAAAGACCCTTGAATTATTAGAAATCCGATATTAATGATTAGATACCTTTCAATTCAAAACAAATATCAGCATTTTCGATCACCCATGATTTGTGTTTTCGAACGTATGGTTATTACCCGTATGTGAAATAACCAAACGTCAACTAATGAACATGTTATTTTCACAAAAAATGTTATTAATAGTGAAACTACTCATTTAGAAAAATCAAAAGTATATAGTATTTGTCAAGGGCTATTCGTTATTACCGCAGTCTACAACAAGCAGAAGTAGACAAAAAAAAAATGTGTTATGTACGTTACGACTATCCAATGAAAAATATCATGTTTTTTATTATTATGATTTATCCAGTGAAAAGAAAAGAAATGTAACTTTGCAGTTTTATATTTTATATAGAATGTGTATGGTTGAATATTAAACTTTAAAACGATGAGAAATTCAATACTTTTATTTCCGTAAATATTTAAAATCCATTGAAAGATAAAATAAGGATTTTATTTATGACTGAAGCTTGTTTCACTAACAAGTAAACTAAAATATAATTGCTAGTATGATCAAATGTTCTAAAATAAAAACAAACGACGGGTTAAAATTTTATTGTGATTCAATTACAAAATATTAAAGAAAAAATTCCAATTTTGTTTGGGAGGAAATTTAAACCTACTACTCGATAGAAAGAATAATTCATGACGAATGAATAAAAAAAACAGAACGAGAAACTATTCATCTGCGTGAAATTCGAAAGAACACAGGAAAATTTTTTTAATATTATTTTTGTCTGCCTAAAGTAAACAAAAACCATAAAAGGTGTTATTTGTCCTTTTCTCTCACGTGGATGGGGAAAGAATGAAAAATACCACATGACGTAAGGGCTCTTTCCAAGTGTATTGTAAAACGAGTAAATTTACAAAAAAAACAAATCACGAAAATATTTTCCCTTGATAAGAATATTCATTTAAATAAGCATGCATGAAAAGTGTAACTTATCATTCATAACTTATTACTGAATTCAATCAAATTGATATGGCTACTAGATCCATGACTCAAACTGAAGATTTCAATAAACAATCTCATCTACACTATAGTTGTTCTCTTGTAAGTAAAACTGAAGAATCAAAAAATCTGATCGCGCTAGGTACACGTGTTTTAAAAGAAGAATCGAATATTGAAAAAAAGAAATATTGTTTCAATGAATCGGAAACAATAAAGCAATATCGAATTCAAAGTCTTAGTCATTGGCCACATTTTATACCAAATAAAGAATCGATGATATCTGCTGGTTGGTTTTCATGTAATATAAACGACCGAGTACTTTGTCTTTATTGTCATAAAGCGTGTCAACAGTGGACAATAAATGATGATCCCAGTGAAGTTCATCAGCGAATTTCTCCTCAATGCCCATTTGTTCTTTCGATGCCTTCAAAAAAATGCTCTCCAAAAATAATTAATGATAAATTAGACGAAGACTTTCAACCATCACATCCAACAATGGCTGAAATATCAAAACGAGAAGCAACATTTTCTAAAATTATTTGGCCTGAAAATTCACCAAGTATTGAAAATTTGGTTCGTGCAGGATTTTATTGTACTGGTGTTCCAAATGAAGTGACATGTTTTTATTGCAATGGTTCATTGCATAAATGGGGTCCTAACGATAATCCAATGGTTGAACATGCTCGATGGTTTCCTCATTGTGATTATGCTAAACATCTATGTGGAAATAATTTATACGGAAAGATTCAAAGTTCAAAGAAAAACCTTTTAGCAGAAAATAAAATTGATCCAAATGAATTGAGGCGTTTAGTTATAGCACGGCTTGATTTACCTGCAGTTAAACGTCTTCGTTCACAATATTCATTATCATTGATTAAACGTTGTATCGAAGATCAATTTAAGATAAGAAATGATGATTTTGAGTCAGATAGTGATTTATCCATGGCTTGTCTTGTTCTACAAAAACAAATTGATATACTTCAAAATTCTAAACACAATTTTATAATTCCATCAAACGATCAACAATTGAACAATTCATCTCAACCTGCTAAGAAATCATTGGGTGAATGTTTTATATGTCTTACTGAAGAGAAAAAGCTAGCCTGTATGCCATGTGGACATTTATGTGCTTGTGTGCCGTGTGGATATGCACTTAAATCATGTCCTATTTGTCGACAACATATTAAAGGTTTCATCAGCGTTAGTGCATAGCTTTCTTTTTTATATAAAATTTTAATCGAGTTGTTTTGCAATAGAATCGAGATATTTTTATTTGAGCATGGTAAATCGCCTATTCAAATTATAGATTTTATTATTGTCAATTACATAATATACATGTTTATATATATGCATATTGTATGAAGTTTTTGTTTTTGATTTTGTTAATAATAAAATACAAAATTTCAAATGATTCATTTAAAATAGTTGCAAAATAATTGATCAACACAAAATTTTGTTCATAGTCAAATCATAGCTAAAGAAATGAAATAAAATAGCCATTGCATATATATTTCATTTTTTCGATTCATTATTATGACATGTTGTTTGAGTTTGATAGTCAGTAATGATATACTAACTAATCGTATCGATGTTCTGTAAGAATATGGTATAGAATTTATTCTGTTTGGTTGATCTGCAAAGTGATGCATTATGAAGTATTGCAGTGATATTAATTGACATATGTAATACAACTTTTAATCGGTTTTCATTTACTACTACAGTAAAAATTTCATGTTTTCATTGAAACTGTTACTTGAGATGATCTGCACAAAGCAAACGGACACTTTGATTTTTTGAGTATAATAAGGTCTGTAATAGATGGTGCAAAAAGTTCTGTATTAGTTTTTATAGTTAAATACTTGATCAGTAATATTTCTTATTACTAACAGAAACAGCTGAACAGAATGAATTTGTTTTTAATTTCTGAAATATCTAAATCAAAAGCAATGTTTTTTCTCGAAAACTTTTATTGAAGTTTCATAGAATACGGATAGAAACCTAAGCCGATATCAGAAAGAACTCATAGGAGTACTAGTATATAGAAATTTTACATTTTATTGATAGGAAAAATATTCATCAAGTCTTTGAGTAAAAGATACTATTTGAAAAAGAAGAAACGCCACTTTCTATAGCAATATCAACTAAATTAACATCATAAACTAGTCGAGATTTTCAGTACATCATGCTAAAACACATTTTAATGAAAAAGCTCAATCTACATATATTTGCATGCAAAATTCTGTAACAGAAGAGTTTTCTTAAATTCAGAAAGCATTTAGTTCTTTCAAACAAAATGAAATCTTTAGTATATTACAATTCTTTGTCGAAAACAAAATCAATATAAGATACTCGCTCTGTCCGTTGTTTTCATTTTATAATTATAATATTTACGTGTATTGAGCTTGAATTAAATCGACCGCACAATCTTAATATAAAAATTTGTGCAACAGTTTTCAATAATAGAAATTTAGCATTATTTCTTAGTTAAATAACAAAAAATGTATTTATATAAATAATTCAACGAAACCATAATTGAATAGCAGATAATTCATTTTCATCTCTAATGACTAGACAATATGATGGTAAACGATTTTTTAACCATTGAACAAATTCATCTTCGATAAATAATGAATGATTCGTTGGTATCACCCCATCGATCATCTTGACATTGAAAAGTTAATGCACGAAGATTTGGCACGTTTTCAATTAGATCAACAACTATTGATCGATTTTCAATATTGATTAATAACACTTCGCATTGATCACCTAATAACGATTGAATCAATGAAATACATTCTAAACCATAGAACTGTCCATCGTTTGCTATTAAATCAAGTCGACAAATGGATTTATTTTTTGAATTTTACTAGTGCTAATTGTGAAATAATTAAATAATCCATTGTTATTGAATGAAGATAATGAGCTCGATCGAGTAGTTGATGAAGATCAGTTATTGATTGATCAGTTTCATCGGGATGAATAATCGATACTAATTCAATTGATACTAGTCTATCAAATTTTGGTATAACGGACCAAAGAACATCATCAAATGGACAGGATAATTCCAGATGATGAATATTTGGAAATTGAAGTGGAAATTTTGATGCGAATTTTAATAAAAAATAATCAAGAATAAGGATATTGACATACTTTGAGGAACTATATTTTTTATCTATTGGACAAGTCGATTTTGACATATCACTTGAAAGATTTTAAAAAATTTTAAATCCACAAGGTAGTGTATACAGATAGATAAATCCATATTCAGTATTTGAATCACAGCACACAAACCATTGATGTTCATCAAGCCAAAATTTCGTTTGAAATGATTCAAGTAATTGATCGATTTCTTCATGTATAGTTTTCTCTATATCACTTTCATAGAACATCAATAATCTAAATACTCTTAATTTACGTAAATTACTAATAATTATTTGTTTCCACCAATATCCATTAATGTAAATACCATCTGTTTCAATAATTAATTCAGATAGATTAGGCATACTTTTTGGAAGATTTGTCACTGTTTCTAATGAACCTTTGAAACATATTTTCAATTTTGACATGCATGAAATCATACATGGAAATTGATCATTATTAGATGTATCTTGAATTCTTAAATCAACATTTTGTAGATTAGGTGTATGTTAAAATAAAAGAATGAAATCATTTATATTAAATAAATCATTTGCAATAGAAAGTTTTCCTAGCGATAACGAAATTATGGTTGGCAACGGTATATAAAATTCATTAAAAAATGGTATATCCAAATAACAGTATTTTAATTGTGTTAAAGTCCAAATATTATTTATGCAAATTTCTGCTGTTTTCACATCATCTTCGAAATTACACTTACTAATATTAAGATCAATTAAATGAGAACAGTCGCTTATAATATTATTAATTAAATCTGTTGAACGAATATAATATAATGTAAGTGATCGTAATTTCGTAAATTGTTGAAAACGAAAACCATAGGAAAAGAATAAACTTGGATGTTGAAGAGTATCGTCATCGTTTGAAAGATGAATTGATTTTATCTGATTAGCTACGAATGGAAGCTTATTTTGACCAATACTATCGAAATCCTGTTTGGATATATCGAAAATCAAGTGGATAAGTTTGTAAATGAAGATAAACTAGTTTATTAAGGCGAGAGTTCAAACCATGAAATGTATGCAGAAGTTGAATAGCATTGAAGTATTCAAATATATCAAGTATTAATTCATTAGCTAACGATTCAAAATGCACATTTGCTTAATAATAATAGCAACATTGAATGTTAAATAAAACTAAAAAGATCTTTACTAAGTTGACTAGTTTTTTTTTGTAGTGTCATTCGCTCCTATCCACAATGGCACAATATTGGATGATAATTTAAATCAATCACAATGAACTCCTGTGACGATTATTGATGGCACGCTTCGATGATTATCCTTCCTTCTCTTTCTGTTATCTTTCCATTGTTCTAATATATCTCTCTCCTGTCTCTCTTCTATCTCTCTCGTATATATACGTGTGTTATGCAGTGTTTCTAACAGCAAGTGTACACAGCAAATGCAAAATGTCTGGAACACCTGCTGTTTCCGAAATACACTCTGATTTACACGTTGCTCAGAAAACAAAAATGTAAGGCGTACACTTTGAAAAAGAAAATAACACTTTGATGTTAGATCACGAAAACTCATTTCGCTAAATCTTTGTCTGTTTGGACGGAATTAAATTACTGCCGTCGTCATCATCACTTCCCAGGTCGTGGAGGTACGACGAGAAACGGCCGGAAAGCGCTGGAAAGTGGAAGCAGTATTCCGATCGGAAATTACCGGGTTTTTTCCTGTGGATTCCGGACAACTCCCAGCTGGAAAGCACAGAAAACTGACCAGAATCCACAGGAAAAAATCCGGTAACTTCCAACCAGAATACTGCTTCCACTTTTCAGCGCTTTTCGGTCAGATACGGTGATTTTTCCGCATCTTTCCGGACAGCTCCTACGGTATCAGCCAGGGCTCCTAATGGGATGGGATGGGACGAAATTTTTAGTCCCGTGGGATAATGCAAGTCGTCCCATCCCATCCCATGGGATTTAGCAAAAAATAATTTTCATCCCATCTCATCCCATGGGATCCCATGGGATTCGCTATATTACGAAAAATCTTACTGAAAACCAAGGTTTATTTTTTTTTGTCACTGGAAATTCGACGTTTTCCAGCATTCCGATTTGAATATTGGAA